AAAATAAAGTTGATCATTAATGGATTTGATTTTATGGATAGAAATTTCATAGAGAAGTATATTAAATTAGCTTCCAAGTAACCTAAATTACAGTGTTTTTAGTGAATTTTGCACAAAAAAATTGTTTTTGCAATGAAAACAAAATAATATCCTAAGTCCTAAAGAAATAAAATAAATCTTATACTTCAAATTTAATTGAAGTAAGTATAAGATTTATTTATTTAAAAATCAAAAATTTCTTAAGCCAACTATCACAAACCCAAACTGAAACTAAAAATCTTTGTTCCCAGTGGAACGACAAGATTTGATATCGGCTTTCATGCAAGAGTTGCACTTTGACTTGGCCTTTATTAAACAATGCTACGTGTGAAAAGCGAACCAATTTAATCCCTTTTATCAGATTTTCACCCAAAGGTTCTTTTTGAAGCATTTTTTTTCTTTCATAAATTAAGAGCACATAAAATCATGATCACAAAATCTGTAACCCATTAGGGTCATATGGGCAACACATGTACTGCAGTCATAGTAGCAGTGATGTTTTTTGGGCAAGATAACCTGAGGAGTCCAATCCTCTCCAGTCTGGATTTGAATTCAGTTTTTCCTTCTCCTAGTCTAGTCACCAACCAAGGCTATAGGACCCAATCTGTCCTGCTAGTTACCCAACTAAGGAGAGAAGAAATAGATTCATACCTTTCCCAAGGGTATTAACACGTAAGTGAATATAATGAACTTGACTGGAATTTGAACTCAGATTCTTCAATCCAAGCCACTATCCAATACTCCACCATGTCTCCATGCAAAATAGGAATCATGAAAATATTTTTTCTTTAAAAAAAAATTTACTCTTCTGATTTAAAACAAAAACTCATGCACAAAATGTACATACTGTATTCAGTTTATAAGACATTTCTAAACACACAAGACAAATATCAATAATTTGTCAGATTTCACCCCCTAAATTATAATACTGTTCCATAAAAAATAAATATACATACAATATATATTTATTTATATAGCTAGCATTTTTTACTAGCATATGGAGAATAAGTTTTTTCATTTTATAGAAACCATAACAATTCCACATTTAGTTCAGAATCAACTAAAATTGTAATCTGAGTTGTTCTCACAAAATTGATGATGCCTGGTTTAGGAAAGACTTGTTTTAAAATGTCCAAATATTTTTGGTTCAGTGCAAAATCTGAATTTATTTTACTAATGAATTAATTTGCGATCTTCAGAAAATAATGTTAAAAACACTGATGCTCAAGATATTCCATTAAGAGGTTATCAAAAAAAAATTCAGAGATAAATTTGATTAGACAAGTATATAAAGCATGTAATTCTTGATACAATAAACAATATAGAGATAAAATTGGAAAAGTTTGTTTTCTATACATGGCCAAACCATTTTATATAAACTTTTCAAATTTGGTATGAATACTTGGAAGGTTCTAATGTAAAAATGAAATTGTTTCTTGTAGAGAAAACAAAGGCTCTAATCCTTTTCTATTACACAAAATTATATTATATAAGATTATAATTTCTATGTCTAATGTGGAGTTAACTTTATTTTGCTTTGTCCAATTAAACAATAATAAATTAATCAGCAGTAATGCCTTAGTTACTTGAGCATAATATATTCAGGTATAATAAGCAGTTTATTTCCTAGGCCTTCTCTTTAATTAACTGCACAGAAACTTAAGCAATCAAGTGCATGGAAACTGAGCATTTCATAACAAGAAGGTGCTGAAAGCTTCTTGGCCTGATGGAAAAAGTTTCATCTTGTGGTTCAGCACACCCGACACATCTTTATTTAAGTTTCTTTAACCTTTCACCCACCACAGTCTGATGTTTTGAAATATTAATTATTAGAAGTAGGTCAAGTCAAGAACTTTTCAGCACTCTCTCCTATGTATGATCACTGAAGATGTCAATATTCATGTTTTTATAAAGATTCTAGAACTTTTCAAGTGTGTATATGTGTGGAGAGGGTATTCACTGTTTGGGCACTTCGACATTGTGTAATATTAGCAAGTTTGTTTTGATTAATCAGTTACAACTGAGTAGTGAGTTCAATCCTCACTGGGTACCACATCCAAGCTGCATCTAGTAAATTACTATATATATTTTCAGCAGTTTTGCATAACACTAACATTTACCAGCTGACCATCTGTGCTAAGTAATTATTTTACTGTTAGTATCAAACCAACTACAATAAAAGTCTTACCTGGCATAGGTGAGTATTTAGCTAGTTTAACTAAGCAAGAAAAATTGCTTAAATGTTTCTTAAGTCATACTTAAAACAATTTTAAGGGCTTGCTTGGTGGCTAGAATAGTTGTCAGTGTTTATTGACATTGAAAACTACTTTATTTTAATCTCGGGTTAGACTATTACAAGTTCAAAAAGATTTTGTTGTGTCAATCATACAAGAAAAGTATGTCTTGAAAATACACATGAACAATGATCACCAGCAAAAAAAAAAATACAACTATCTTAACCATCAAGTAGGTGCAGATATTTACTAAATTTGTTTTCATGTGGTAGAAAAACTAATTAAGGCAAATGATAAAATTTACAGAAGATTGTTTTGAAATAAGCTGACTTTTACCTGGGTTTGAACACTGACCACTGGTGATGATAATTACTAGGTTATCTGGCACAATGCAGTAATAATAGAGCACTTGAAAAATGAACTCACTTCATTAGTAGTAGTTCATGAAATTAGCCTATGGAAGAGTGTGCCACTAAGCATACATTTGTCTGGCTTAAGGCTACAATAATGAAGCACCTAGTGAGGATCAAACTCAAGTAACTGTGAGATGAACTTGCTAACAATTGCTCTATGACAAGCAGACAAAGATTTTATTTAATAACACAAAATTCAACTATTTATATTTAATGTTACAATATTATGGAGTTAGGTAAGGTATAAGTAGTCTACGGTGTCTGAGTAATCATTAGAGTACACAGATATCACAAGTTTGCATATAAAATCCAGGAAATATTTCTTGAGCCATTTTAGGTCTAAAAATGGGTGGTCATGCCATCAATCATGAAAGGTAGTAAGTAACCTTTGCTTAGCCTAGAGAGAACTAAACTACAATCACAATAATTTTCAATTTGACTAATTTTAATCATCATTTCTCCATGCTCTCAATGATATTCCTTTTCTCACAATAAATAAAAGAATTTGGCAAACTCTGAAATTCAAATCTTCAAAATTAGCTTCTATATGTAAATCAAATCAAAAATTAAAAATTCACTATTCAAAAACATTATTTTTCAGAGAAGCTATACAAAAAATGTCTTAACAGCAATGAAGTAGACTTTGTTTTTCTTACATCTATTTTAGGATTTGAAAGGAGTTAGCTTTTAGTAAAATTTCAACTTTCACATTCCAAACAGGAAATTATAGACTCAACAAATATACTTGGAATAAATTGCTTTAATATTTTGACATTTTTATCAATTTCTTAAGAAATATTTAATTGCAATAAATGTGAAAAGTAATCCCAAAGCAAGGTCCTTTGTAATGTATAAAGATTGTATTTCTCTTCTGTTTAAGCAAGGCCTATCAAAACTTGTATTCTTGTCAAACCATATCAGCCGACAAAATGATAAGTAGGTGAAGCTTCTCTCTGGCCACTTTATATATTTTTTAAGCAGTTTACTTCATTAAGCCAACAACTAAGAGTACAGACATTTTGAAAACAAAATAGAATGTAGGACATGCATATTCTTTTTCTTTTTTTATTAATATCATCATCTTTTTATTGCTTTCTATCCCAATATTTTAGGTTCATCTATTCTTTGACATCAAAGGAAATTACAGGAGTTCAGATTAAAGATAGGATTTATCAGATAAAAAGAAACAATGATAAAAAAAAGCAGAATGGAAATACTTCATTTAAGAAATTCAGGTAAAATACTATCTGGCAATATTATTTTGAATCACAAATTAGTTTTAACTCATTCCAGAAATTATTCAGAATCCTCATCGTTGTTATTTTAATCATTTCAATTTGACTAGTATGGGATGTGTGGATGGTGTAATGGATAGCAGCTTGAATTCTAGTTGAATTTGTTACATTCACAAATACCCTTCTCCCCCAATCTATGAGTTAAACAGTAGGTCTTCATCTGGGAAAATAATTGTTATCTCCCAAAAATTGTTAATGCACAAGAAAAATAAGGATTATACTTACAATCCAAAAAATATGTTTTGATTTTAAATAACCATCAAAGGGTTAATAAGCTGTAAAAAACAAAATCAAGTGAATGGTATACTCTCTGGCCTTCCTCAGGTATATGACACATATTCAAGTAGATTCTGAACAGACTAGTCTCATTCTTAATATTCTTTAAACTTTCACTTTAGAACAATTCTCAAATGCAAGCAACACAGCAACGTGGAAATTTGCCCTTCATAAAGAAGTTGCATGATGTAGTTTTAGTTACAGTAATGCAGTTATAGTAAGAAAAATGATTGTAAAATAGTAAAACAACAAGAGATATTTTTAGCAATGTTTCTTGTATATGATTTGGTGGTTAGTGATGCCTTCTGGTAGTTATCCTCAGAGGTCATTAGAAGATCTGTTCTCTGATAAAAAGAAAACAAAAATTTCTATTCTTGCCGAAGGTGTCACATGAATCAGACTTTGGCATTTGGTTCCATACATTGATTAAACTATGCTGTTCTTAACTGAAATGCTGAATAACATCTAAAGACTGTCAAAAAGCAGATTCATCAAATATTTGGGGCTCAGATTGATGAATTCATTCAACTGGAACATAAACAAAAGTCAAAAAATAAATTGTGGCATATATTTGACAAAGGCCTGGCAAAAGACTGGTCACAACATTGTGATCCAAGCAATGAGGTTTCTAGCCTGAGGATTTCATGATCACAATGCATCATGTCAGAATTTTAGACTATATTTTAATTTTGAGTTTCCAACAAAGAAAAAGAACTGGTAAAAGCTTATTGCTCATTGATTTATTATAGAGTCAATATTTCAGCACCATTTTCAATGATGGCAATGCAATGTTCAAATTGTGCTGATCTGCTGTTGTCCTTGGTTAGTGCTGTCCAACCATCTGGCAAAATTTTAATGTCTGGTTTACCATCACATATAACAGGTTCTGTTAAAAGAAAAAAAAACCCTCTAATTTAAACAGAAATGGGAGAAAAAAACTTGTTGCTGCTTTCTATGATTAAATATTTTAAAAATGTATAAAATTACTATATCATGTTATTTCAGGAATTATTCAGACTAGTATTCTCATCATAATATTTCAGCTATTGTGCTCTCTGATTTTTCTCAGCTCAAAATTGGATCAGACTATCATCAACAGAATTTCTTATCTATTATACATATATATTTTGCCACCAATGCAATGTCTACCAATTTACACATCTAAATAACAAAGGTCACTGTTTCATTATAAAGTAAAAAAAAAAACTAAGTTGATTTGATTTGCAAATTGTTCTTAGCAAAATGGACAAAAATTATCCATAAGTCTAATATTCAACTGTAACATTTTAATTTTTTTGATGAAACAATGCCCATTATTATTTTGACTAGTATTTGCTTGATTTTACTTTTAGTTGCTTTTTATTGTAACTTTTAGATTATCATTCCATGATGAATAGAAAGTTATATGGATTGATAGCAAAATTATCCCTTATCTTCAGGAACCTACTTTTCTGTAGCAGCTGCCTAACTGATTAGGCTAATACTCCTGGTAATAATCATCCAAAGCCAAGCATATCACTTTTATTTCATTATTTTCTCCCATATGCCATATGTTTTGTTTATATACACTAGTAGTATTGTAATATTATTCAAATTTCTTAGAAGCAACATTGTCAATTATTGCTAACAATCATGGAATTATGTTCTGAAACCAATGGTAAAAAGCAAAAAATTAAGATGAAAGAAGTATGTATAAAAATTATTAGTAATTGATAATGCTGCCTTTCAACTTCTAAAATTAGCACAATACACTCTTTTACCTCCACTTGGCCTTGTGTCAGACTGTCTAGTTGAATCCAAAACAAGAAGGACAAGATTAAGTCATTGAAGAATAACGATACTTCCTGTTAAAATGTATGATAACAAAAAAAAAAAAAACGTCTATCTATATTTCTGAGATGAAGTATTATAATTATTTACATTGTTCAGACTGTTGTCCTCATCTTTGTTGCCATATTCACGATATTTTGGCCATTGTATACTCCAGCCTTCTTTAGGTGATTGGAATTTTGAACTGAACCCTTTATTTCATCTATTGGAGGTAGATTGTTCTAGTTCCATTTTCCAGATGTCTCAGTATCAGTTATCTCCCTTGAACTCAACTCTACAAGTTTTTGTTCACCTCTGCTGTAGCCAGGCATTGAACTCACAACTCTTTTGGTCAAGTCACTGGATCTGCTGTCATGTACCCAGGTATAAGCAAGTACCCCATAACCTAACAACTACCCTGGGTCCATGACAGCAGCTCCGACTGCAAGAGGATAACAACACTCAGAAAACAGCCTTGATCTGCCTATTATATCTGAATGGATTATCAGAAAAATTACAAAAGATCTGTGATCCATATAACATCAGGACGACCTTCAAAAGTGGTTCAACACTTCGCAGACACCTCTTCTGAGTAAGACCCATCCCATAGAAGAGAACATGATTAAGGACTGTGTGTACGCCATCCTATGCAGCTGTGGTAAGAAATATAAAGGAGAAACAAGCTGTATCCTTATAAGACTGCAGAAACACTGTAAAGTTGTAACATGAGGGGAAATAGAAAAATCAGTTCATACACTGATGTCCTCAAGGACACATAGTCCAGTCGATAAAAGTGACTTGACCCAAAGAGGTAGACAAAAACTTGGGTTGAATTGAGTTGGGTTAAAGGGAGATAATTGATATGTGGAACTAGAACAATCTACTCCAGTGGACAATATAAAGTGTTCAGCTAAAATGTTGTGAATATAGCAACAAAGATGAGGACAACAGTCTGAACAATGTAAATAAAAAAATAATAAATAAAAAAGGCAGAGAATGCACTGGCCAACATGACCAAAACAACAAAGATGATTAGTCTGAATAATGTAAATACTTCTTTTCAAAACTGTAGACAATATGAGAACAGTGCTTGAAACCTGAATATATATTGTATATAAAAATAAACAGTTTGTATATATCAACAAGACTTAGAATTATGTTACATACCAATAGTAAACACCATGCCTTTTTCCATCTGTGCATTATCACCCAAGTCTGAAATAAAGAAATTTAGGAATTAGTAAATTGAAATCTTCTAATTGTAGTCACTTGATAAAAAACAGAATGAATTAATGCACAAGCCTAAACTTGAAATTTTTATTGATTGCAAAATAAAAAAAATGTAAATACCAATAACAAACAAGTTATATTTGGGAATTTTTTTTCATATTCATTGTATCTGAAAATATTTTCAAAGTGCTAATAAAGTTTTATATAATGTATTATGACAATGAATACTTAATTGACTGGAAACATGAGAATTCAGAGGTTAAAAAAAAAAAGATAAAAAATATATATTAAAAACAGGATTCTTTATGATTCTTTAAATCTTATCTTACAAGGAAGGGGATATTTTTATCTTGGGTGATTGACTTCAGCATTGAAACAGTTACATATTTTTCACTATGGTCAGAATATTGATGTCTTGAGTTTGGGCTAAAACCAGGATTTTGAATGTTAATTTTCCTAATATGAAGGTAAACTCTCGAAAGGTTGAAGTAACACAATCTTTTTTATCCCATTCAGCCTTATACTTTATTAAAAATATTAAAAAAACAGTAAATATTGAGAGTATATTTACCTATAGGTAATATAGAGTATAATTTCTATAGAAGTTTATACAGATTTGTATTTGAATGGAAGCATAACGTTTTAGAATTCTTCACTTTGTCCAGAAATCATTTATGATTATATTAGCTTTCTTCTTTTGAATCTGTATTTGACATTTAAGTTACTGTAGCCATTGGTGGGATGTGTGGGTAGTGCAATGGCTATTGGCATGGAAATTAGAAACAGCAGTCAAATTCTTGCCTAGTCTATTATATGCTAATACCCTTGGAAAAAAACATATCCATCTCTTCTTCATTATAGATTAAATATAGCAATGTAGATGAGACTCTCTAGCTTTAGCTGGCAGCCAGTCTAAGAGAAGAACCAATCTAAATTTAAAAAAAAAACATGGTGATGATAATGGGGAACTATTCCACTATCTTTCCCAAGAAGTTATGGCAATTTACAGATAAAGAAAATTAATCTATGGAGAGATATATTCACTTAAAAAAAAAAAAAGTATCTTAAAATGTCTGTATTTAACAATTATGTATAAAGAATAGGTCTTAAGTTACTTAAAAGTTTTAACGTACAACTAGTCATTATACAAAGATTACAATTTTTGAATCCCTCAGACTCCATGAAAACAAAAATCTGACAATGTATTTTTCTTTGTGTGCAATGGCTTTACGTATCAGTTGCTTTGTATAAGTGTGACGTCTTCTGGTCACGACGCCAATATGTGACACTGTGCTGTCAGCCCGTAGTCAACTCCCAGTTGCGACGTGAAGCTGTAAGGTTTCTTCCACCAGCGTTTTGGGGTTGACTCTTTGTCGCTGCCACCAGCCTGTGTCCTGGTTGATCAGCTTTGTTGTTCCCAGCTCACTTCCAACGTCTAGTTACTGAAGTAACTACTTTGATCTCAAGTCTAACCTACCCACGTTGTGACTTTGATCTTAGGTATACGAAATCAATCAGGCGTCGGGCCGTAGTGCAAGCTGTATCTGGGGTAAAGGTGATATCGCACAAGCGTAAGTAAAAGAAGCAATAAAACAAAACTCACAAGGTTCAAATATGTTGAGAAATAACAAATTATCTTTATCCATCTGTTGAATACAGGAGTGTGTTTCTCTCCCAGCCTGTTTCTATGGATTCATGACACTTGCGTTTCTTAAGCGAGTTTTGGTATTTTAAGTCGTTCATCAATATAACTTGCTTTTAGTAGGAAGGTTAAGTCGGAAGGACGTGGAATTTCTTGCTCAGCTTCTGCGGGGCAATGGCCTGACTGCAACTGCGAATCAACTGCTGGAACTCCTGGAACCAACTGCAACTGATCAGCTGCCTCAAAACGTTCGTTTATATGGATACCGACCAAAACCCAGTGTGGTTTGAGTTCCCAATAATTCTCGATTCCCAGCAAGAATTCTCTTTGTTCTTAGGTCAGGAAAATTAATTACTTCCCATTTTTGGAAGATTAATCACTTTCCATTTCAGGGGTTTCTCCCTCGTCCATGAGGGAAGGTCGGAAGAAAGTTATCCTCCTAGACTCTTCCTCTCTCACATTGGTATCTCCTACCAATCCCCTCAGTAGGTGTTAACAACTTCTCGATCTTTCTCATACATTCACCTCCACCATGCTACCACTTGACCAATGATCTCTTGGCAGTGTGGGTGTGGCTAGACTGGCCTTCTTGTAATTATTATCCAGAGTTTTGTTTATAAAATCCTTTTTTTTTTTTTTTTTTTTTCCTTCGGCCAAAACATTTACAAATCCCAGATTGCCAAATAATTCTTATCACATCTTTCTTTCAAGGACCCCCAAAATTCACTTAGTTGGGTCTCTCTACCAACTCATCAATCACTGTCACAACCCAACACCTGTTTTCTTCTGCTAAGTCAACTTTTAGCTGGGAGGTCCGTATTTTTCCTGAGAATCAAATACTTTATTTTTCTCATGCCTTAAAATCCTCTTATTGCCAAATGCCCATTTTCAACAACACTGTGTCAACAGTTTGAATAAGCAATAATAATACGATTTTCTTCCTCATGCCAGAATTCTAACACACACCAGATGGCTCCCTTCGTTGGACCCAGGAATTAAAATTAAATGATATCTCTAAAAGATAACTAATATATATTTTCTGTGGTGGTCTCCAGCGGAAATTTTTTATGGCCGCATGTGTCGGTTGGCTTTGTTTTTCTTTCTGAGTTCTGTTATCCTTGGGGCGTCACTCCTTTATCGTGACATAAATCAGTTTTGACAGAATCTCATATCTCACTTTTTCTTACAGATTTTCTGTCTCGTGCGAAAAGTATCTTTGTTCATAAATAAAATAAAATCTTCTTTTTTAACATCGATCAGTCTATCTTTCAATATAGCTCTTTCTCACCTTAAGTCTTTCCTGTTTTTAATTTCTATGGTTAATTAGTTAGCCAATTACCATAGCTAAATAGTATCACATAAAAAAGAAATTATGGGCAGCTTAATCTCTTATAGGAACATGATGTATCTATATGTCGTAAGTTGTCTATTCCCTTGTGAGCAGAATGTATATATACATTATTAACTTTGTCTACTGCTTCAAATTTTCTACACAATACATTTAGTGTATTGACAGATGTAACATTATTAGTTAATAAAATTTTATTCTAATCCATTCTGAAAACTAATAAATACAGAAACAGGAATTATTTATTAAGAATAAAAATGGCAATCCTTATGTATATGTGAAAATGAAAGTTTTGAGTTGAAGAAGCCATTAGTTTACTGGGAAAGATGATCTCAGGTAAAATGATGAGAATGCAGTTAAATCAGATTCTTTTAGGGAAAATTATGCTGTAGAAAATCATCAAATAAAAGGTGTCTGATAAAGAGAGTCTTTTCTTATTTTGCTAAAAGATCATGTCGGGTTACAATTTAATCTTTGTCTGGTTAAAGGGGTAACATTTTAAATAAATTTGGTACTTACCAATGTGGAAAATATCTGGCAATCCATGAAAGTAAGTACCAATTCCATGGCCACAAAAATCTGGAATAACACAGAAACCAGCTGCAGAGGCAATATCGCTAATTTAAAAAAAATAAAAAATAGAAAAACAAAACAGTATTGTACTGGTCTACTTGCTCCAAATTTTAAAGATGAAATCCGAGTTAGCAGAAAAGTAATTTCAGTTCAGTCATGGCACATGCATCGACACTATCAGTGTATAGACATTTTATTAACAAGACAATACTAATTGAATTGTTTAAATCTTGATTGATCGTTGTTTAGCGAAACAATAAATAAAGAAATTAGGTTCAAGAAATACAGATGAAATCCTTTCAAAAGCAATGAAGAACTTTTTAATATTTAAAATTTACTAATTTCATCTAGTCTTCCACAATAGAAAGAGAGAAGTTATAATACATCATTGTTGTGTTGCAATAACAGTAAAAAAGAATAAAAGATAACCTGTTGCTGACTGACAAGTTGATACAAATTCTTTTTATTCATTTTAAGTGACTCCTCATTTTAATCCTGCTTTGTTGGTAAGTATTAATCTGATTGATTAAAAAGCCCCAAATTACAATTTATTAAGCATGTGCAAAAGTTTCCAGCACGCTTTTTTGAAAAATAGAGTTTCAACTGCTATGTTTCCTTTGAAAAAAACTGGTAACTGCACACAAACTATTAAATTCAGCACTTTGTGAACAAATGTTTCAAAACAAGGGAGAAAACTTATCCAAACACCAACTCAAAACTAACAACACGTTATTATTCCAGTTTTTCTATCAGTATCTTTATCATTGTTGTTTTTATCACATTTCAGCAGCTACATTCTTTAGATTTCCTCAGCATTTTTTTCTTTATGAGGGCGGGGTCAGAAGAAAAAAAAAGTGTTAAACAATTTCTAAAGCCCACCTAACATACATTTGAGTAAGTCCAAAGAATATATTGGCTGAAATATTGTTAAAAGACAAACATACTAATGCTGGGATTAATAAAAAAAATTACTTAATCTTGAATTTCAAAAAACGCTAGTGAAATGCATTATTGGATAATTTTTAAGATAAATGATGAACTTCAAAATTAAAAACTGACAAAGCTATTTTTACTTGTAGCTATCATATTTAATGATATATTTAGTACCCAACTACCTCCACCACCACTATTTTTCATTCAAATTGGCTCAAAGAATATCTCTGGGATCTCACATGCAAAGTTAAGGTAACTGGTTCACTAATGTTTATCCAGATATCATAGACAGCCACTACTTGTATTGAGCCTAATTCCATAATACTGTAATATTTAATCGTAAATAGTGTATATGTGTGCATTGGAGGAGAGGTTCTTATATACCACCAAATTTCATTTGCTAGTATGAAGTTAAATATAGAATTCCTGGGTAATTCTCTAGAGTAGAGCTTTCCAAACTGTGTGTCATGAGACTTTAATCTCTCAGTGAGATAATAAAATTAAATCAAATGTGATTAATTTTTTATAAATATTATCTTTTTTACTGGGAGCAATCTTTTCAGTGAATCATAAACGATCTGATTGTTATATTCTGTGCTAATAGGGATATATATTTGAAAAACAAGGTGGATAAGTAAGTAAAGGTTTATTGTAAACAACCAGTACAATAAGCATAAAGGTAACAGTTATGCACAAGGTCGCTGCAAGTCAATCCAGTAGTGAGTGCTACTATTGGAAGGTTGGTAGTTCTCACGTAAGTCAACAGACCCCAGCGAAACTCCGTAGTCTGTTGCCTTAAAGATACTTATAGGTAGTTACTATCTATAGTGTAGTCACTCATGGGGATGACAGGTTATTCCATTTCATCACTGATGAAATAAATATATTTCAATTCTGCTACAGTTATACATCTGAATTACTCTCTTTTAGCAGGTATGAATATCATACATGTGACTTGCTACAAATATGTATGGCATAATTGATGTTGTTACTACATGATATTAATTTGAGATAAAAATGTTAATTATATTTAAATAGCAAAAATGTATGATAGCAATTGTTATTTTTTCCAGTACATTCTGTAAACTTTAAATTTCTGGCTATTGCCAAAAGTGACATCACCAAACATTATATGTGTGTCCCAGAAAACTACTTTTACTTTTTTTCTTGATGGCAGTCAAAATATTAAGATACCTCACTCATCAGAGGATGTGATGTAAATAAATCAGAGGAGCTGCTGACTACACATCTAGCATCTTATTATCAATTCTTGTATGTATATGAGGGTGGTAAAATGTTCTTGACTTAGCCCACTTTTCAAAAGCTGACTGAATATCAGAATCTTTTTTTAAAGGACTTCTTGATAAACCTGAGAACTTTTCAGTACCCCCTTAAGTACATATAGACTCATGTGATTTTTCTTTTTCTCAAATCTTCTCTTAGAGTAAAAATAGCCATAAAAAAGTAATGAAAATGTTTCCACTTTTTTTAATTCTTATGCATTGTATAAATTAAAAAAAAGAGAAACACAATTGAAAATTTGTTGTCTGAATTTTTGTCATGAAAAATTAGCATTATTATACAGTGAGTTATACAGACTAGTGTTCTTGTTATTTTGGCTTCTTTAGTTGTGTGTTATATTTATTAACCTTCTTTTGGGCTCAATCTATCTTATTCAATCTATATGAGTAGATTATTCTTATTCCACTATCCATGCTAGAAAATATCTCATATTAATTAATTGTTCCTTGTTAATTTCTTGTGATATTGCTTATCTCTTCCACTGAATCAGAGTATGACATTTTGTACTACCCAATCTGAGTATTGGGCTCACAACCATTGGGTAACTTAATTTGCTTAACCAACACTTTTATCCACAAGCATAAAATTCAATGGTGGAAATTTAGAGTCTTAATCTTATGACTTTTACAGTGCCTACCTCACCTAATTAGGTGATTTTGAGTTCAAGCTCTAATATTCTTTCTTAAAGGCTCTTATGTAATATTCCTTTCTATGCTTAGTCTACTGAGGAGGTCATTAGAGCCAAGCATATGTGCTGATTCTTTCAATTTTCTGCTATGACTCTATGAAATGGAATATACATATTTGTTGGTCATGTTCCCTTCTGAGAGACGTAATACCTAAACTTCAATTCTCACCAGCGATAGAACATGAAGAAATTAATCCTTTTCTGCCTACATCGTCGACCAAAACTCATAAATGGTGACCCAGACACATACCAACTAGAGATGATCAGAATTAGAAACAAGCTTCAGAGTAACAACTATCAAGCACACATCACATCAGCTTCTGCAAACAGCCAAGGAGAGTAGTAAGAAAACTGCTACAGTTTGTCAATCTTGCTGGAAAAAAATCAGATCTATGATCCAGACAGGACAGTATTTAAAAGCAGCTCCACATCTCAAAGACATCTCTCCCAAACCAAGTTTCCTTCAGAATACATGTCCAACAAACGCATATATTCCCTGAGACTCGGTTTTACATTTTCTAATGATGTAAGCAATCCTTGTCAAAATATTTGGTTTTTGGTGATGTACTTACAAATAAAAGTATGATGTCAATTAAAGCATCATTTTACCCCTAAACATAACTGTTAGTTATGGAAGCCATTTAATACTTCCTGGAGCTATTAAAATCTATTAAGAAAGTAAATGTAAATATCAGATAATGCTCATATGGCAAGTTACTTGGTTTCTCAGAAGAGAAAAAAAAACAAAGAAGACACTATTAAAGAATCATATTGCTGTTCAATATTTGGGTTCAAATCTGAGTCAAAAATACAATTCCTTAAGCAAACAACATAATTGGAAGACAGATTAAAATCTTTTGAGACTTTTGGGACACAAATGCCAAAGGAATAATTGATAGCAATTGAAAGTAGATAAAAACAAAATGAACCAAACATTTACAACTAGACAAAAAAACAATAAAAAAATGTATTCACCTGATTCTCTTGCCAATTTCTCCAAATCTTGCACCAGGCCGACATAAAACAATACTTTCCATCAAACACTGACGAGTTGTGTCTACCAGTTTTTGACCCCTATCATCAACATTTCCAATCAAGTACGTTTCAGAAACGTCGCCATGATAGCCATTGGCATAAACCTAATTAAGAAGGAAACAGATCTTTAAATTAAATACACCATCAACTGCTTCAAAGCAAGTAGCTTGTAACTCATCTCTTTATCATCTCTCAGTTGTGTCTCTGTCTTTGGGTAGAGTGCACTTAGGGGCGATTCCGTCAAAGGACAGAGTCGCATCTGAGAAAAATTATACTGAGATGTGCCTAGCTCTGGGGAACAGCTGCCCGAGGCCACACCCTCTCATTGCACCAGAAAGAGGGATCAGTGTTTGCACCAGAGAGAGGGGTCAGTGCTTGCACCAAGGCCAGCACAAGCAATAGTTGCAGGGGCTTGGTGAATTTTTGTTCCTAGCCTGGGTGTATGCACTCAGGCTCCCCACATTAAACTGACCTTGTGTCACAACATGACTTTGTGGAGGGAGGGGATATTGAGTAAATACCAGATTACCATAAAGTAGAGCTGGGGTTTTTAATCTCAGAATTTGTGTTTCTCTAACTCTTCAAATGTTGAATGTATAACTAATTCTAATTTCCATTTTCCCATCTTTACACTATATTAATTTTATCTTATAAATTGTCCCCTGTTCTGTCACCCATGAAATAAAAATAATTGTTTGTATGGAAAATAAGGATCTATGTACATCAAATAGTCTTTAAATTAAGTGGTAGCAGAAGAATTATTGTTGAACTTTTAGAAGGCCAGCTTAAACATTAATTCAATACTTAAATGCAGTGATCAATTTTTAGTTCTTCTGTAGTTTATTGATGCCTATCATATCTACTCCTTCCTAGCTATTGTGATGATGGCCAAACCAAGAGCCCTCCACAGGGGCTAGTTTAAATGCTGCCCAATAGGGCAGATTTTAAGCTAGCTTCAATTTTGGATACAAAAGGAAAATAAGAGTTACTCCCCTTGAACCATGAAAGCAACGATAATGGCTAGTATAATATATTAATATATATTTTTAACCTTGCATGATTTGGCAAATTGAATCTGAGCTCAACAAAAATCATTCCCTGTGCCTAACTTTTCTAAGGCTTTTGAATGAGCCATTAATCATTGAAATCAGACCAGTGGGAGCAGAGGAGTTGCTCAAACACACACATACACTGTACTTGATATATAAGATAAAAGCATTTTTTTTTACATGAAACAAAAATAAAAAGGTTACATTCTGATTTAATGAACAGATATCCCTTTTTCCCTTGATTAAAACAATGTTTTACTATATTTTTGGCAATAAAAATATCCTTTTTTTTTCAAATGATTGACTTTGTTTCAAAATATTACAAAATATTTAGGTAGGAATACAAAAATATGTACTTATAACTAGGCATGTAACCAGTGATAATCGCAAGTAGGATTTATTAAACCAATATGTCTAAACTTTCATTCATTTTAGTAATTGTATATATCATGATCCAGCAAATAGCAATTGTATTTTTAGGTCAGTTGCATCTGAATTCAGTATAATTAGATAAGGATTCTTTACCATATACTAATTTATCTCTGCCCTAAAACTAAATATTTCTGTTGTAGGAAAAAAATAAACAATGAATTTTGCAATTTAGGACATGAAATTTGTTTTTAGCAAATTGTTGTACACAGAAGAAATGGATTATAGTGATCAGGAATGAAAATAATCTTTACTGATAGGATAGGAATATTATATGTTTACTGTAAATTCATGGATAATGGTTTTAATATAGAAATGGATTGAAAACAGGCTGTTGTATGTATAATATATAAAGAATGTTACTTACTGTTACATCAATGTTGATGATGTCACTGTCTTGAAGAGGCCTTGAATCTGGAATTCCATGACAAGCAACATTGTTAATAGAAGTGCATACAGACTTTGGATAACCAAGATAGCCAAGTGGTGATGGATAGACATTATTATCAATACAGAGCTGATGAACAATTTCATCAATATTATCTGTTGTAATACCAACCTGAAAATAAAAATGCATTGTTGTATCTTTTTATTTCTTTACTTTATGAATAAAATAAAATCCATTATACAACAATAAATTAAGTTAAAAATTTAAAGATTTAAACAAGAACTTAAAAACTGACAAAAAGGAATAAATTGAAAAAAAATCTATGATATTAAATGTTAAAAAAATGCATAAATGTAAAGAGGAGCATGATAATTAAAATCCCTAAGATCTGATATCAGGAATCATTGGACCCACTTAACCAAACCCCGTGCAGATTCTGCAGGAAGAACTTAGACTCCGGCCTTGTTCCAGACTACCAAATACACCTGAATGGTCAACCCAAAGAAATCACAGTGGAAGAAATAAGACTTCAGCCTTGTACCAGTTTACTAAGCATGGCTAAAAATAGTGTCACAGGGTATTAAGGGGAAACGTGCTGAAAATCTGCATGTGAGTAGAACAGGGATGTCCTACTGCATGTATTTTGTATCCAAGAAATTCCAAGGTTGATGAAGACCAATTTTTTATCTTCATTGATAGATCAAAGCAAATACTTATATTGTGTGCTATTAAATGCAAATGGATTGTTTTATTGAATAAATAAAAAGATTCAAACGATCTGCAGTCCATAAAATGTTAGAATAATCTTTTATAGTAAAACAACATAATGCAACTTCCTCAAAAAGGTTAGTCCTTCATATAGGAGAAATACAACCAATGCTTTAATATATAACATTCCATGTTGTCATGGTAAATAATATATGAAAGAAATCATTTGCCTCTTTTAAATAAAAAGTGTACTTGACAGATACTAATAAGCAATTAGTGAAGGTTAGACAACTAAATCAGGCAAGATGAGAAAATTGGTCCATATGAATCAATGTATAATAGTAACATCTCATCTTCAAAATTCAGGCAAAAGTTATCAGGTTGCCAAATACCTAATATGATGCAGGAATGAAGGTGATTTGAAAGTTCCACCAAAACTGGCATGAATATCAAACCACCTACCATCCTTTTATAGTCAGACATCCAGAAACATTGGCAAGTAACATGAAAGCAATAACAATTGCAGAGAAAACCAAAATGGGAGAATCCATCATAATCAAGATTTTAAAACTTCGAGATATATGTTCAAATTTAAAAAATTAATCAGCCATAAAATAATGGAATGGTTATTTCCCAATGCTTTGGTCTGTTCATTTACAGAGCTTTTTCTTAATGTAGAGTCAACAGAAAAAAGCCATAAAAATGAAGAGGTTACAAAAATCAAACAACAAAAACACCAAACAAAAAGATGAAAACATTCAGTGTATATTAACAGTACAAAATTTCATACAAAAACAACCTTCACTGAATATTAATGAGACCTATTTGCAGGTACTTATATTATTTTCAAACTGTTTTAATTATTTGCTTTTTGTTTTCTTTGATTAATTTAAATATTGTAATTTTAAAATTATATTAATTAGTCAATTAAAAAATATTCATAAGAAAATAATTTCAAATAATTTAAACTGACCTTCAACTCCTTTGCTGTAAGATTCAAAATTTTCCTTGCCAAAATACAAGCCTCTTTAATTTTACTGATTTGTTCTGGTGAATGGATTTCAATGTGAGGAGGACAAGCATCTTTTCCAGGAGTTGTTGACACATAAGGAGGTTTTTGGATGTGGGATGGAACTGAGCGCTGAGAAGAAACTTTCTTAGGTGTCACAATTGCATAGGCAGAATTGTGGCTTGAGGTATATCTTGTGAGTTGATTCTGGAGGACCCAAAATGTAGATTTCAAACGAGAGAAGACTTGATATGTATAAGCTGAAAAATATTTCAGGTTAAAAAATTATATACCTTTTTAAAATACAATAAATGTCTAAGGGATATATCCTTTAAATATCCATATGAATAAAATGCAAGAGTTATATAGCACTGAAGTGTGAAAAGTCATGGAAAGTAGTATTGTATGTACTGTTTCAATAACCATCCACAGCTCCCTGATATCTGCAGGTGCAGATATTGCATGTTTATGTACACTTCAACTATATCCCATAAATCCTCAATTAGACTCATTTTCAGCAAACATGGTGGTCACACCATATATTGGAATTCTCCAACCAATTCTGGGCAACCGGGTTCTGATAGCATAATGATTTATTCTGCTGCATAAACCCATTACTGTTCAAGTGCATCAGAGTCCATGATTGGGTACAAATGATCACAAAGCAGTGTAATATAGTGGCCACCAATCAATGAAATGTTTAAATGGATCATTTTTCAGTTGATGCATGAACTATAGAGATATGAGGGGTGTTATTGGTCCAACCAATTTCCCATAAGTCACTATTTCAATGACCAAACATCAAATCTTTTAGAAAGGTTAAAGAAACCTAAGAAACAATGTGACAAGTGTGTTGAACTTTGGGGCAAATATGTGAAATAGCAAAGGACACTTGATAGCTCAAAGTCATTCTTCTTTAAAACTTTCATATTTTCAGTTTAATAGATGTCCCAACTTTCATTCAACCAGGTGAGCATTTTTGTATCTTGCACATAACCTAAAAACTTGGGCTTCAAACAAATTTCACTGAAAAATCTTTAAATATAATTTTACTGCCCAATTTTTGAAGTATCAACTTAAAAAAAATTCTTGTAAAATCTTTTATTAGATTTCTAGTCATTTTTCCATCATTCTTTGATCATTTCCAAAAATATTGTTGACCAAACATTTTGTTGCAACAGCAGAAGGAATAAGGAATACATTAAATAAAAGCAGTTCAGAATTTTTCTAGATTTTTGTGAAAAATTATGACAAAAAAAATAATTGTTTAATTTGTTATCATTACTTAGAAAAACGAGAATGCCAATCACTTTTGAAGAGTTTATCACAGAAATAATCTATGCTCTAATGCAATAGCACATAAAATGTGATGAAACACTGAGTTAGTGCTACTACTAAAAGTACTACAGTAGTAAACAAAATAAATCATGTAAATTAATAACAAAGCTATTGAAAATATGAACCTAAAAAATCTCCATAAATATTTTGGACTTCAAAAGCTAATGTTGCATAGAAATGGAACATATTTATATCTCATTTGAAGCAAATTCTTTGCATCAAATTTTAATAATTTAATCAGTCTGATCTTAAACAACCTAACTTCATTTTTGAATTTATTTGACAGGTTGTGACACAAGGTTGGTTTTTAACATGGGGACTCGAGTGTCTTCACTCAGGACACTGGTCATAGCTAGTCTAAGCTAGTCATAGCTGGTCAGTGATACTACCAGCGCAGAGACAGATCCCTTCATCTGGTAAGTATCAATGGTAAGTATCACTGTGTTACAAACTACTTGAGAGAGCAGTATGCATTTATTTGACACACCTGAGTGTCTTCACACAGCCCGCTGATCTTAGCTGGTTATAGCTTGTCCAAGCTGGTCATAGCTAGTAATAGCTGGTCAGAGCCAGTCATAGCTGTGATACTACCAAGCCAATTTATGAATGAAATGTTCATTTAAAATTTTTGTTTCAAAGATTTCAAGTAGTGAATATATCTTACTTTGTGAAGTGATAGTGAGCCGGCAAAGCTTGCTAGTATCTACTAAATTTGAATCCAGCACAGAGTCACAGTGGTGGAGCACCTAAACTCATTACACTAACAAAAGGTCTACAAGTCTAGATTCTTTACTATCATTCTACACTTAGGTCTCCTGAGAAATTTAACTTTGATACTTGATTTCACAAGCCTAGGGCAGCCAAAGAGAATATAATTTACTTCACTGGAAGTCTGGCTTGTTAACTATTGCTCTATTATATTTGTCTTGATTTTATTTGAAGAAAAATAAAGAAATGAACCCAAATTTTGTATTACAATGATTTGTTTTTCTTTTTAAAAAAATTTTCTTTGGTAAAATAATTTTATCAAACTACTGAGATCTACTTTTACTATTGGTATAGGATTACAATGTAGTTTCTTTAATATCTTCATAAATATTATATAACAACATAACATATGGCACTGTGTTTCCAAAAACTAAGCAACAGGAAAGTTTTGTTAGAAACAAAAAAATGAGTGCTAAGAAATATCAATCCCCTTATATAACAGCGAATTTTCTTACAGATGAAGAGGAAACAGATATGTGGTTCTACAGAAGGATGTTGAGAATACCATAGACAAAGTATATGAGCAACAAGGAAGTTTTAAGGAAAATGGAAACAAAGGAAACTTATACAGAAATCAGAAACAGTTGAAATTTCAAGAACACATAATGAAGAAAGAGGGGTTATAAGAATTGACACTCAGGATATATTGAAGTCAAGAGGGACAAAGGAAAACAGCAACTAACCCACCTAACAAGTTTGTATAAATGGATGGCAGAAAAAGGAATGGGAGGGTAAAAAAAAAAGACAGATATTGCTAAGAGATACAAAGGATAGGAAGTTGTGGAGAGCCGTGATCGGTCATGTCCTAAAGGTACAGAATATATAGAAGATTTATATATATATATATATATATATATATATATATATATACACACATATACCAGTACCATGCAAAAGTTAAGAGAAAAATGTGAAATGGTTTCTTTTAAAAAGGAAAAATATATATATATATATATATATATATATAATGCATATCCACGCAAATTTGATTAAAAAGAAATGACAATGTCTGTTTAATTTTTTATTGTATTTTTTCAGTTTTCAAAGAGGGACAAAGGAAAACAGCAACTAACCCACCTAACAAGTTTGTATAAATGGATGGCAGAAAAAGGAATGGGAGGGTAAAAAAAAAGACAGATATTGCTAAGAGATACAAAGGATAGGAAGTTGTGGAGAGCCGTGATCGGTCATGTCCTAAAGGTACAGAATATATAGAAGATTATATATATATATATATATATATATATATATATATATATATATATACACACATATACCAGTACCATGCAAAAGTTAAGAGAAAAAATGTGAAATGGTTTCTTTTAAAAAAAAGGAATATATATATATATATATATATATATAATGCATATCCACGCAAATTTGATTAAAAAGAAATGACAATGTCTGTTTAATTTTTTATTGTATTTTTTCAGTTTTCAAATACTGCGCTCAAAATTGTGGATAAACTGTCCAAAGTTCACGTGTAATTGTTTTGTTCAAGTACTTTCAACCATCTAGCATTTTCAAGAATGAATGTGGTTTGTGTGGTAGGCAGAATAGTATTTCAAGATATTTTTGTGTAATTTTGGTAAATATATCTGTTAAAATGAGATGTTAGTGTTATTTTCATTTTTTGCGTAATTTGGATGACATACATCACTCCCTATGCAGACATGTACGTAATTAATTTATTTGTTTAAACGTTAATAGATACACATATTTAAGTAGATTCTCTGTTTTTATTTATTAATCAGACCGTATTTACTTATTTCCATCTACTGGCCCAAATATTCAAGAAATCTTGTTAGAAAAATATGCAGTTTCCAGTAGTACTTCATGTTCCCTGACGTGCCTTGACTTCTCAGTAAAGTACAACCTCCTGATCAAACAAGCCCGAATAGTGCTTTTCAACATATATCTTCTCGATTTTCGAAATCATGTCTGTTTCATAATCCTAACATAAACAAAGATATTTTTTTATGAATGGATTAGTAATCTGACATATTTTTAATTTTATGTTTTAAACGTTATTTATGGATAGATGCTCTGTTTTTATTTAATTAGTATATTTATTTTAGGTAACTCCATGAGATTGCTAAATAAAAGAGCATAGCATGAGGAAAAAGACACCAAACTTGACGAAAACAAAATTTTATCATCTAAATGTTTATGTTATTATTAAGAGGAAAGACCAAAGTTTTTTTTTAATTATTTTAAAAATTTTTTCCTTCTTTTTAGAACATTCTAAATCTTGATTAAAAAACCTTGTTTGTCTTTGTATCACTGGAACTAGTAAAATAACATCAATTTTTAGCATGTTTTTTTTTGTATGACACACATTAATTTGGAAAATCTTGCAAAAATAAAAATAATTGTCGGATGTTAATGAAACTTTCAGAAACTATTCATAGATGATGGAAATTATCATAAATGTTTTTTTTTTTTTTTATTAAAGTCATGGCAGAAATATTTTTTTTATATTTATAATCCCATAACTAATTTTATGAAAACTCTAGAAATTCAATTTAGTGATTATAATAGTTAAAAGCAGAAGGCTTTGAGGAATGCAAATCATGTTTTTTTTTTAATTGGACCCCCCTTCTACCTGAAAATCAGCTGTGAATTATTAACATACAAAATTCAATAAAACAAAGATATTATTTAATTTCAAATGCTTTTATTTGCTTTTAGTTGTTTTTATGAATATGAACAATATTTTCTGAAAGCAAAAGATTTTTCGATGAAAAATGAATTTTTAATACAATTATTTGTTATTTCTTTAATTATAATAGATCATTACATTTAAGTTGTTAAAATATTATAAAATTAGTTACAAGCTGCATCCACTTTCGTAAATGTCCTTATGGACAAAGATCTTTTTTTAGCGCGTTGTAAATTGTATCGTTTTGACTAATCAGAAAACCCACAGTAATTAAGAAATGTAATTTTGTGTTTATAATTGGGCTGTAATTATAAAGTACGGAAGACAAGTATCAGTATCATCTTATGAAATTTATATGATCTTATTTTTATATTAATCTCAGTTATGACATTTTTCCATAAATGAAATATCAAAATTAATAATAAAATGAATGGAAATACACAGTAAAATGTAATAAATGTGCATAAAATTATAGTATTTTATGTACACTTCTGATAAAATTTCATAAGAAAGGTATCTAATTAATTTATAGGTACCTTTCTTATGAAATTTAATCTCACTCTCAACAGTCTTTTTTTAATTTCTCTATAATATATTTTCCATAAAGCATTGTAAACTTAAAGATGAAAGCTAAGTACAAAAAACAAAAATTAGAATGCTGACAGTTTTCCTTAAAAATAACGAGGTAAATAATTTGTTCACTTAAATCTAAATAATTTTATTTCTCTCCTTCCATAGAACAAATGTAATCCGTCGATACGTCATTCATCACCTGTCAAGTAATGCAAAAGGTTATGACCTACTTTGTTTTATTTTTAAACTACGTTTTCAGCGCAGAAGCTAAGTTAAGCTTGGTTCAAAATATTTTAAATAAACATTATAATTTCTGATTTTTTTAAAATAAGTTTTGAAAAAATGATAATTGATTTTTAAAAGAATTTCAAACTGAGATTTTCATTTTTTTTATAAAATGGAAAAAAATGATTGCCATGATTGATTATCTATCAATTTTGCTGATTCAAAAAAAAAACCAAGATTTTTATCAAAAATTTCAGATGTGCTAGGAATGACTAAAATATGTAAAAAAAAAAAAAAAGCGTATAAAAGTGGACAATGAGGTCAACACCGAGCGGTGATAATCTGTTTCAAGCTTGATCGCAACCATGCCTGAAGATTACGTTCAAGCATGAAACTGACTGCTGCTACTCGATATTGACCTCAGTGTCCACTTTTATTTCTATTTCATAATTTCTTAAAATTAAATTTATCTTAGAATTTATTTTTGATTAAATTCAGTGAAAAGTATCAGTGATTGTGAACATAAAAGTTGAGCAAAATGTATCTTGTATGCCTTCCCTTCTCACTACATCACATCTGAAAGTTCCTAAATGTCTGGAAAGAAAAATTAATTTTGCTTGCAAGGGTGGGAAATGCTGGTTTTTGAAAACATTTTTAGCAGCTACATGTGGGAATTGTTTAAAAAATGATTTCTGTACCAAATCTTTCCCATCAATATGAAGGCCATAAAATATTCACACCAGAATATCTTTCCAGAAGAAATCTGGAATATGTATCCAATGCCGCCACATTTGTGTTGTTGGATGGCCAAAAACAAGCTGACATACAGTAGAAAATATCACAGAAACAACAGATTCCTTTTTGTTTCTCTCTACACACTGAAATATTGAATTTTCAATAAAATTCTATTCGTTTTTCTCTTGGTAGAGAGCCTGGAACACTAATTTAGAGTGTGTGTAAAAAGTTTGCATTTGAGATCTTGGTTATTCAGTTTTGTATTTATTTGGCCTTTTGTGGAATTTTTTATTTTTTAAACATTCATTATTAGTGCTAACCCTTTTGACACAAAAGAAGCGGCACGAGGGAAAAAAATTACTAAGACAAATAAATCGAAGGACTAAAGCGGCAACTTGCAAAATTACACGAACACGTTTCGGTTTAGTAAATTGTAAAAAAATAATGAAGCAATCGTTCACAATGTTCTAACTAAAAGACTATCGGTTAAATTTCAACTTTTATTTTTTTAAATTATTATTTAATAATAACATCAATTGTGTCAACTCAAAAATATTGAATTGCAATCTCGCAAAAATAAAATAAGATAGAAAAGAAAGTTGGTTAAAAAGTGCAAGACTTTAAATTTATATAGCCTTAACTTTGAATGTGTATTTTGAAAAAAGAACAATCAACATTTAGATAAATGGAACTTACCTGACTTAACCATTTTAAAATTTATCAATACAATATCAATTTCGAGGAAGAAAGCTAAAACATCGCTATGTGAAATGTAAAGTGATTAGAAACCAGAGTTATCTTTCTTAGTACTAATTTTTTTTTGTGGGTGGGGTAAGTTCAGTGAGAGAAACATAAAATTTTTCATTCTCTGGTTAAAGCGTTTTTACTTTTTTCTGAGCATTCTGTTTGACCAGCAGATACTATTAATTGCACTTACATGCTTCGGCAATAGTTTCTCACACAAAACAAAAAATATGATTTAAAAAGGACGAGCATTTTTACTTGCATTAATTTTCCTTTAGATTGTACTTTTTGTGGGCAGGTGTGACTGAAACTTAAAGTAATTATTTTTTCTTATGCTTTCTGTTAAAAAAAAATAATAATGATATACTGTAGTGTAAAGTCTGCTTAATGCTCTGCGTCAGTGTTTGGTGTTCAAACTGTTCATCATTAAACAAAAACCCAGCTCTTTGTGATGCTGGTTTTCAGGCAGAGCTGCTATCTCGAATTAAATAATTTTATTTACTCACTTAAACGATAAGGACAAAAAACGTTTATATCAAGACAGAAATAGCGATTTATTTTTAAATTATGAAAATTTTGGCACAAATATTATGCAATGAAAGACAGTCGAGTTGGTAGTCGAGTTTCTTACAAGGTGTAGGTGGAGTTGCGCTTTTGCCAAATTAAATCCCCGTAACTCTTGTCGTCAAATATGTGCAAAATAAAAATGGCGGCTTAAGTCTCGCTGTTTTGATTCATTAACAAAACAATGCTTAATTCTTGAAGAAGAGTGGTTCATGAAATTCTTACTGATTATTTTTTTCATCTTGTTCTCATAAGAATCAAATTTTTGGCTCAACCCTTAATGGGTCTGAGAGTGTTTGTGGTAAAATGGGCAATTCTAATATAAAGCAGCATATCGAAACCGCCTCTAAAACGGGGGCTTGTCAGCTGTCTCGCATGGGTTTGAAAGAACTTCCTCCTGATTTGATGAGGCTCACTAAAAACCTTCGCACTTTAGACGTTTCCCACAACAAAATCCAGCATCTATGTCCCCCGAATCTCGGCCTGTTCACCATGCTAAGACAGTTGGTGGTCAGTGACAATCAACTCCATCATCTTCCAGACGAAGAAATGAAACAGTTGAAAAAACTTGAGTGCCTTTCAGCTGAAATGAACTTTCTTACTTCTTTGCCCCCAGCCATTGCATCTTTGGCCAATTTAAGAACTGTCAACCTCTCCAAAAACCTTTTCCAGGTTTTCCCAGAACAGTTATGCTGTCTTAAGAATTTGGATGCTGTCGATCTCTCATGTAATCGAATTACGAGATTCCCAGCCAACATTAATGAATTACACGCCATAGAGTTAAACTTGAACCAAAATCAGGTAAGAAAGAAACGAAAGATGAGTTTTCTTGTTAATTTATTTTTATTTTTCGTATCTTTAAACGAAGATTCATCCTGAATTTCATTTTTTTTTTAAATTGTAGCGAATAAATTAAAAAATAGTTTTACTATATACAAATATTTTTAAACATGCGACAATCTGTCGATGTGTGTACACTGTACACAGAAAAAGTTAAAAAATTAATTTATAAATTCACTGTTTATTTTCATTTAGCAGTGTTTTTACTTTTTTTGCTTTGCCTATGATTTCAAATTCATAGCTTAAGTGCGCTCAAATGTAATTTTATTTAACTCTTTAAAAAGCCTCTTGGAGAGGTAATGTTTTTAAAAATTATCATATTCTAATAATCTAATTCTTTAAGGAAAACAGTAAAATTTACTACTTGTTGAGTGTCTCACTCTTGTGGCCTTGTGCCAGACTAAGATTGTTAATTATTTAAAAAACCCAAATCACTTAACGCGGCAACGCCTATAGTCCTAATTTAACGTTTTTAAATTAAATACGATACCCGTGAATAAAGTAGAATTTCACCAACACTAAAGTTTTTTAAAATAAAGCAAAAGAATAGCAAAATGTGGGTATTTTAGTGCCCTTTTTTGCACATTGAATAAAAAATTTAAAAATAATTAAAACTACCTCACTTAGATTGCTTTTTAGCTAGACTCTGAACACCCGTTTTCAACTCCTGCAACCAATAAAATTAAGATTTTTTTGTTAAACGAAACTAAATAATCAATAACGGTCGAAACCACTTCTGGGTATGAAACCTTTAAATCAGCTTTAGTTTACCCTGTCACATACGAAAGACTAATTTATTTCCCTTACATCAAGTTAAAACTACATTAACTAGACTCATATTGTGAGACCATTTTTTTTTAATACTAATGTTCACCTAATACAAGGCTCAAGAGTCACTCGAGGTAGATGGTTATCGTGTGATGTTGCATTAGCATAAGAAAGGATAAGAAGAAAAGTTCTTGGGGGCTTTGCAAGAAAAAATAACAGCTAACTCTAGACTTGAATGTGTCAAGATTTAATTAGTGAGTAACATTTCTGAATTCACTCGGAGACGTTAGTGTGAAAGTAGACTTAAGAAGGAACCGAGGACCCAGTCATAAACCTTCTACTCTTGTTCAGAAGACCCTCTATGCATTAAAAACGGAAAATAGTATTTGAAATGCAGTGTAATTTATTCCAACTTTTTCCCGTAAATAAAAACTGAAATCGATATTGTCACTCATTAATCACTAATAATAAGTCTCAGAATTTAAAAAAATAAATATTCTCGTTTTAAAATTTTAAAAGTTGTTATAGACAAGCGTATGGTTGTAAGAAAGAAATACGACAATAGTAGAAATAGATTTACGTGGTTTATTTCAACAGGAACGTAAGGGTTTAGGACAGCTACCTTGGTGTGGTAAAGTTCATAAGCCGGCTTTTGGATCTAGGTCGATCTCTCATAGTAGTTCACACATGTTGATGGTGGTTGCCGCTCTCCTGCTGACAGCTGCTAAACGTGACCGGTCTCCTTTGTGGCCACCTGTTGACGATATTCAGTCACCCCCCCACGAGGGTGTCATGTGGCACAAGGCCTTTTTTAACGTGGGCATTCCCAAGCCATTAGGCTCGGCCAAAAATAAATTTTTGAACCGTATAAACGGGCTCCGGGCGGTTTAACCTCCCAGAAGGAGACTCCGCCCTTCGGCGTAGCCTCCTTCAGGTTCCTCCCGGGAAATAGGAAGAGAGTTTAACCGAACAGTCGTTCAGTAAGTTCTTTGTGGCCACCTGTTGACTGCTGCTGAACTTCCCTGTGACCCCTTTTATAGCGTTTTTTTATGGCTTAACAGGCTCGAAAAAAGCGAGTATAATTAGGAGGAAACATTTTATTGCACGAAAAATAGAGCACTTTAATTATTGTTTTATTTTTCGACCGGAACACGTGTGTCGGAAACATTTGTAAAGAAAGTTAATAGTCATTTTGTGACGGGGCTTTGTCCCGTTCACATCCGGTTCTCACTCTTGAGTATTTGCCTGTAAATCAGCCGAGATATGTCATTTTATTTTATAACAAAGTCAAACAAAACTATAATCTGAAAAAAGGGTTCATAATATAATGAGCATCATTACATTATTTACATCAGATGTAAAGACAGTAAATCAGTTTTTGATGTGTTGAAATGCATTTAGAACCGTTTTTACATGTCAAAAACTAATTTACAGTTTTCTTCCAGGTTCAGTTCACTCCTAAATGCGTCTAATCTGCTTTGTCTTCACTATATGCACCAACTTCTGATTTACAGGGCACAATTTATGATAGTCCAAACAAGCTTGATTACTTCACCCAATCATACAAAAAAGTATATAAACAAAGTTTTTAGTGTTCTACTTCAATTTAATTTGTGATCTAATTCCATTGGTTAAAAAGAGATTCTAATACATTTTCTATGTAACAGCACTGCGATCAACAAAATCTATAAAAAGTGGATCACAAAGCCTTGATATTTCTCTGACTCCTGATTAGTTAATTAATGCCAATATCATGTTTTCCACTATGTCCACATGGTTAAAATTACTGCCAAAAATCTGTTTCAAGACTATCATGTGACTTTATAAATTTGAGCAATATCTTCAACTCTAGCTCTTTTTCTCTATTTTGCCTTCTCTCACATATACAAGATGTAGCGTAAGAGAGATTACATTTGACCCTTTTGGGCAAATACTATCACACACACACACACATGTACATCTCTTAACTCATTATTTACATTATTCGGACTATTGTCCTCATCTTTGTCGCATGATAAATATGGCAACAAAGATGAGGACAATAGTCCGAATAATACCTCATCTCAGAAATATAGACAGAATCTCTTAACTCATCAACTACAAGCAACAGAAGATTATTTACTTCAAAATCTTCTGGAGCTATAAGTTTCAACATATTTTCAGCTTTCCAGAATTCTCTCACTCATATTCAACTCTCATTGAACAATTTAGACAGCAACTTTTCGATATTCAAGTGAAGGTTACATTTTCTCTCAATCAACAAGTTTCTTTGATCTCATGTTACACCGAATTTCAGCCTACATTTTTTTTTTTATCCAAGAACATTCTTTCCATTGAAACTTACTATTATTTCATGAACTGAAATCTTTTCTGTGAGTTCAGATAAAAATGTTTCCTCTTAAAAGGTTTTAAGAATTTCCAGTTAAGGGTAAATAACTCGTTATTAATTACAACTCTTACTATATAAAAATCACACTCTTGATTGCTTTGTATATCATATAGTAAAATGAAGTTTGTTATTATAAAAACAGTTTTTGTGTGGTTTCTCTTGTTTGCTTTTCGTTGCTGATACATTTGTAAAGTAAAAAATGTGCGGATTGAATTGAGGCCGTCAATACCACAAGTTCAGCATCGATGAGTTTGTGTTCAGAATCAAAATGACAAAAAGAAGCAACCTGAATTTCTACAGTGCAAATCAATTTCAATTTTCTGACAAGTCAAGTTAAGATTGTTATAGCTTATTTTATACATGAACTGTTGACTTTGATACAACATTAATTTTATATTGGATGAAGTATTGCTGCCATATATGGTCTGGTGCCCCTTATGTTTGTCTCAAGGTTCTTGATAAGATCCAGAGACGGATATGCAACGTAATTGGCCCTGATCTGACATCTCATCTGCAGTCACTCTCTCTTTTTTACAAATACTTTCATGGTAACTGCTCCAAGGAGCTGCTTTTGCTGGTTCCAAAACTTCTACTAGGCTGGCATCTCGCTCACACCCTTTCACTGTCAAAACTGTTAAATGTAGCCATCTCTTCTACTCCAATAACTTCATGTCTCACACCTCTCGCCTGTGGAACTCCCTCCCCTCTTCCTGTTTCCCTGATAGCTATAATCTCCAACTATTCAAATGTAATGTCAATTGATGTCTCCAGATACCCTGATCTATCCCCTATCCTTCTCTTCATCCTTTCCTCTATCACTCCTATTTGCTCTGGCTCCAACTCTCTGTAACCCCTTTCATGCTAGTGGCTTCCCGCCTTGCTTGAGGTGAAATGCTTTAAAAAAAGAAAAATAAATAAATAAATATATATAATTTTGTCTTTTTTTTTTTTTTATATTGTCATTATATTGTCAAAAGAAACAACTACTGTTGGAATTTCTCTAACAATTTATTATGGTTGTTCTTTCATTTATTTGGATCCTTGGAATAAAAATGAGCAAAATGAGGATGTAGGTCTGTTGAATAGTAATGAGTAATTCTCCTTTTGTGCCTCTTTGTAGTTTGATTAATGAAATAGAATATAGTATGTGTATTATATATATATTATATATCACATGTACTTTTGCATTGCTAGCTAGTTGTGGGTATGATGATAAACTACTGTTGTAGTTTATCATCATACCCACAACTAACTAGCAACAAGGCCTCAGATCAGGGGGTTTTGAGGAGCATGGAACCACCACCTAATTGCTGTTCCAAGGTTCACCCTGACCTGGGGTGGTAACATGTTAGGGTCCCAGCTATGGGTAAATAGTTAACCACCGAACTGAGGTCATATAAAAATAGATTTTTATATTAAAAATACCAGCAATACGTTTTTTTAAAAAAAAAATATTGCCAGCAATATATTTGACTCTCAACAAAAACACTCCTTACAAAAAATTAATTTTTATTACTTCAAAGATCCCAAGAAACTTAAATTTCAGGATTAAATGAGCCATAAGGAAATGATATGCCATTAAACAAATCAATTCATATTGATGGAATGCACATCATTGACCAAATGCAACAATACAGGAAATAGGAAAGAATATTTTCTTCTTAGACAACATAATTAATAGATTATTTATATAGGGTGTTCCAATATGTTGGACCGATTTTAAATGTGAATTAAATTTAAGTGTCTAATGAATTTTTTCTTTTCCTTTCAGATTTAACAAGTCTTTGGCAATTTCAACCATGGAAAGATTAACAATCAAACAACATAGTTAAAGTTATAAAGCCTATTATGAAAATGGATGTTCAAACAGAAATGCTTTTTGTGCACTTTGTGATTTTTTTTTTTGTCAACATAATTGACCAACTAAGAGTGCAATTGGAAAAGTTGTTTGTAAATTTGAACAAACCAGGTTGGTGGCAAATGTGAAAACACCATTGTGTGCTTGTTTACACCGTTCAGCTGAAAACATTGCTGCAATGTACGAGAATGTGGCTGAAAATCCAGACACCTCTATTCGTCATCGCATACAGGAATTGAACCTCTCCACAACAATGTTACATCAAATTTTGACAAAAGATTTGTCTCTACATGCTTACAAAATTCAATTGACGCAAGAACTGAAACCTGCTCACCATTTGGAGTGTCATACATTCATCAATTGGGTGCAAGAGCAAAGACAAGCCAATGAAGATTTTTTGCAAAAAATCCTCTTTAGTGATGAAGCCCATTTTCATCTTGGATTTGTTAATAAGCAGAATTATTGCATTTGAGCTGATGAAAATCCAAGGAAGATTGTTGAAAAGCCACTGCATCCACAAAAGGTTACTGTTTGGTGTGCATTTTTTGCTAACGGAATCATTGAGCTGCATATTTATAACTTTGAATGTCCATTTTCATAATAGACTTCAATAACTTTAGCATGTTTAATTGTTAATCTTTCCATGGTTGAAATTGCCAAGGACTTAAATCTTAAAAAAAAAATCATTAGATGCTAAAACTTAATTTACATTTAAAATCGGTCCAAGTTACCCTACACATGAAAAAGTAACTAAAATGAAAAAATATTCTGTTGTCCAAAACAAAAATGAATGATGTAGTCCCTTAGGATGATAGGGCTTCTGGGTACATATAGTGGAAACAAAATCCAGATGCAGCAGCCAGTTGCTACTGATAATGGTAACTGCCAATCAAAGAGACAATGTTTAGTGTGCTGTCTCTGTAGAAAGACAGCACACAACTGCTCTGTCAGAACAAGAGCCAGTGTTATCCAGTTTCCCTATGAGATAGATGGGATGGTGAGCTGAACAGTGTTAGTTATCCAAATGATTACTTTGCTAGCAACCTAGGATTTTTGTTTGTGTTACCCAGTGTCATTTCAAATCCATTCGTCCTTGTTTGTGTTTCCAGTGTCTTGGCTGCATTCGTCCTGTATGTGTGGTGTTCCCATGTGGAAGTCTTGTCTCCCCTGCTTGTCATGATCCAGTGTTACTGAGTTTTCTGTCCCTCTTTGTTGGCAGATACCCCACCAACCAATAGGAAGAAAATCCCCTCTTTACATAAAATTAGTGTTTCTCTCAGTGGGTATGATAAGGTTGTCTGTGAATCCACCATTATTGAGCTGGCCACGAGAAAAGCATGGAAAAAGCTGGTTGAGGCCAACAACTTTTTGTACCTTTTTAATGGACATGGTAAATATGAAAGTTTGAATTTAATTGGATCAAATTGCAAGTTTTGGAATTATGAAAATCCTAGGAATGAACATGCCCTCCTTTTTTTGATTATCCTATTTAGGATAGTTATTTTGATCACCTGCTGCTGGAAGAAACACTAGGATGCTCAAGAGAGCTCATTTGCTTTCTGAACAGCCCCAGAAATGTCTGGAATGACCTTGAGAGGTCAGCATCACATATATATTTTCCTGCTCATGTTACCACCACATATAAATTTACCTTTTAATTGTTTGCCTGCAATACAGATCATAAAGACTGAATTAATTTGAGCTCCAATGACCTTGGAGATCAAATTTCTTATCCTCCCTATCATTTGTGAAGTAAAAATAAATCTTTGTACTTTATAGTAAACTCAATATCACACTCCATTTTGCAAAATATTCCTTCATTTGATTAGAAGAAATGGCACACTATGATCTTTGATAAACATGAATGACCTCAGAGATTATTACTTGAAATTTTGCAGTTATACATTCAAAAGAAAAAAATCTGAGTTCAGGGACTCTTTTTAGTTGTGATGTCCAAACATAGAAATAAACACTTCAGATGAGCCATAGACTGATTGGAAGTTTTGTCAAAGTTCTCTGATAACTACCCTTTCATCACAATCAGATATCCTCTTGATTCTATCATCTCTGTTCTTTGCTCAATTAACTTTCTGGATCATGCAGAGAATTTTTCATACCTAACTTTAATTTGTTTCATCATTACACATGGGTCTGCAGTTTAACAATTTGACCACATTTGAAATATGAAAGTTTTCATTTCTTCCCCATACATGTTTCCATTTTTAACAACAAAAAACAATCAACTTTGAATTCTTTGTCAATAAGCTTAAAGTTAAGGAATAATTAAAACTTTCATTGATTACAATTTGAATTCTAATAAGCCAATGATGTTGACATTGATTATTTTAGTTGAGACTTCTGTTGTCTCTTTTCATGGTACAAAAAGTTGAAAAGATGTATTGGTAGTTAACCCAGTTTTGCACAAGTATGTATGAAAATACGTAGCCAGATAATCAGCTTTGGGATTAACCTATAAGTAAAATAATTTGATATTTACATTACTAAAAGTGGAACACGGCAGAGTTTTTCTCTCCAATTCTTTTACTGATATTTTTGTTTAATTTTTGTAATTATTCTTAATTCAGTATTAAATTTTATACTGCTTTATTTTTCAAAAAATATTTTCTTTGGTTTACTGAATTTTATTTTTTTTAATTGTGTGTGCATGTGTAGTTATATTTAATATCCTTGTGAAAGTGTAAATGTTGATCAATGTTTGTGCTTCACATGCTAATCTAATTTTATGAATGCTGTCTGCCACCAAACAATTTTGTTGATTAAACTATCATCTTATCTTAACTGAATAAATATACTTGTGATATTATTGAAGAGGAAAATATCTTTATATATATATTTGTTTAACCTTTGCTGTCAGTAAAAGAATTTTTTTTTTTCAGTTCTTTTTAAGAGATTTCTTTAACTCAAAAATAAAATTGCAAAATAGATTAAATTCTTTTAATTCCTTAGCCAAAAAAAAGTGATGAAAGCTATACATTAGGAATTGTTTATTTTCAAAGTTTTATTTTTCTGATCCTTTTGAGTATAATCTTTTAACACATGAAATTTTTAGCAAATTTTTTTTTCTCTTTTGTAGTTAATAAAAAAATATTTGGTTCTTTCTTTATTCATTTTAAAAAATAATCTAACAACTGGTTTATAATTTTTGTGTGTAGTTCAAACAGTTAACTCCCAGCTACTAACACATTCTTACTCTCTCACTTGTTCACTTTGTCACATGTAAAACAAAAAAAAACATTAAAATTGTGCAATTATTCTTGATTGTCTTGCAGGTGTCCACTTTGCCTGAGGGACTTGCAGAATGTCCCCGACTTAAAGTTTTGCGTCTTGAAGAGAATTGCTTGGATATAACCGCATTTACACCAAACATCATGAAGAATTCTCAAGTTGCACTTTTTGCCATTGAAGGGAATGTCTTTGACATGAAACAGTTTTACAATTTGACTGGTTATGAAGAATATATGCAAAGATACACAGCAACTAAAAAGAAGTTTAATTGAATGCAAAAGTAACTTTTTTTCCTGTTTTATGCAAATAAAGTATTTTTTAATTTATAAAGTCAGTCATACTGGGAAAAATTTAATAAAACTATTGTAAACATTTTTGTAAAAAGAAAAAAATATAATCCACATTCCTTTATTTATTACAATGTGTAATTGTTTTGTAAAATGTGACCTTTTGAAAATTCTTCTCTATTTGTGAAGATAAAAGATAGTTGCATTTTGTGCTTTATTCTTGTTTGCTTATTTTCTGATTTCTTCAATTCCCCTTCTGCAAAAAATTCACCAGAATTTCCATTCTTTATTTTGTCAATTAATTATATAGAAGAGAAAACAAAGAAAATGAAAAACTAGTTAAACTGTTTTGCTGATTCCCTTGTTTACACACACACACACACACACAAGTCCTGCTGTCACATAAGAGATGTTGGATTTGAGTTTGTGTGAATAAATCAGTCATTTATAAAAATATTTAAATAGAAGGATCCTTTTAAAAACAAGCAGGTTATATAGCTCAACAATCCAAGCATTAAATTCTTCACATCCAAACACAATTGCATTATAAATATTAGTCAGTAAATCAATATTGTCTTTTTTTCTTTTTTTTTATAACCTGTTTGTTTCATTAACATCCTTGTGTCATTATAAGCATGATCAGCTTTGTTCTCAGTAAATAAAATGATGATCGGACATATTTGATGGTGTTGGGATATCTACTAGGCCAATATTTATATGTATTACCAATACTGATACTTAGACTAATTTTGTAATATTAAATAGAAACAACTGAGAGGGTTTTAGATATGTGCCTCCACAAGATCACTAAAAAATCAGCATACAATGTTGAAAACATTCTCCAAACTTAATGAAGACATAGTTTTATCATCAAAATCTTTATTATGAAGAGGAAGGATCAAAGTATTTTTTAATTATTCTATTAAATTTTTTACTTCTTTTTTCGAACATTTGATTCTTGTGTCGAACTTTTAGCATAGTAAATTTTCACCTCATTTTTTGTTGTGACAGGCACATTAATTTGGAAATTCTTGCAAAATTCAAATAATTCTCTGATTTAATGAAATTCTCAGGACTTATTCACAAATGAATGAAATTATTTTTGAAAAATTTTTTTTATTCAAAAATCTTGGTAAAAATATTTATTTATTTTGTTTTTTACATGTTTCCCCCCCTTACTTAATTTTATGAAAGCTCCAGAAATTCATTGAAATAATTTTTAGTGGCTATATTAGTTAAAAGCAGAATTTATTTTGAAGAATTTAAACCACCAACTTTTATTTTGCAAACTCAGACCTTGTTCTGAATCGAAAAATAAATAAAAAAAAACAATAAAACTAAGACATTATTTAGAGAAGCTTTTAATTGCTTTTATGAATAATATATATTAAAGACAATATTGTCTGAAGAAAAATTTTTCCATAAAAAATGAAATTTTGCAAGATTTTTTCATTTTTTATAATTTTTTTTACAATTTCAAATTGAATAAATTTTAAAGTTTGTGAAGCTTTTAAAGTTCAATTTCGATGAGATAATTTTTAGAGAATATTGTGAAGTAAAACTATATTTACTAATCATATATACTTGCTTATTACAATCTGAAGACCTTGAATATTTTTAAGAGAATTTTGATTTGTTTTTTTATATATCAATGCAGGATTTCTGAAATATGGATGTACAAACCGATAAATCTATTAATGAAAGGTCATGTGTTTTAAGGGTTGTCGCCCCTCCCCTTATAAGAAAAAAAAAAAAAAGAAGAAGCAAAACCCTAATGAAAATTATCGCCTGCTACACCATAGATAATTATGATTACATTCGGCAGTCAATCCACCATCAATAAATCAATTAACATGTCAGAAAATGTTAATGGGTTAGGAAATGCTTGTATACAAAATTTTATGCTATAAGTAAGTAATATTTGTTTCAAATCAGATTAACTTTAAATTTGCTAATTTTCCTCTAAAAACATTTCAGAAATATATATTTTATTTTTGAAAGATTTTTAAAATGAAAATATAAGTTTTGTTTACAAATGTCTAAAAAATGGCTGACGTGATTGATTTTACTGGAAAAAAAAATACAACTCTATTCCAATCAATATAATTTCTGTCTGAAATAAACCTAAGTATATAGTAAATTTAACCCTTTAACTCATTTAAAGCTAAATTGAAAGCTTCAGGAAAGCTTTTCCATGTTAAAAAAATATTCTAAACCTTATATATACTGAATTTGTTAAGGTACCTAGTTTTAGATGGTGCTTGAACTGATATGGTTACAATAGTGTGACACCCAGTGAAAATCAAAATCATTATAGTAGCAATTTAGATTTGCCTGATAAGCATTGTTCCGAATAAATAGTTTCTTGAACTCATTTTACAGGTCATTACAGGTGTATATCTCCAGTGACCTGTAAAATGAGCTTGTTAATCCACAGCATTTCCTACAGATAATTTAATTGGGTTGAGAGGAAACATCTGCTCTATTAATTTTTATTTTCGGTACACACCAAAGATGAAAGAAATACATAATGCAAATACATAATACATAAGGTTTATATATAGTAAAAATTTTAGAGGAATATAAGTTCCTCTGTTGTGTGTGCATATTTCAAAAGAATTAATGGATTCATTTTTTATTCAAAATTTTTATTACTTCAAACAATATAATAGTGAATACTCAATTTTGAAATAGACATCCCATTTTTATTTTAAACAATATGGATTGCATCTAACGGCTTGCACATTCAAGTAATTTTAATAAAGAAAATATGCTCTCTGACAGGAATCAAACTTGCATTCCTCTTTGTAGGAGAAACCACCTTCCCTTTTAAAGAAAGCACATTTCCTCATTCAGATGAAAGCCTGTATCTGCTCAGTTTCTTATCCAAGATGTAAACAAAGCAATTTCTAAAGAATTAATGGATTTATTTTTAATACAACTTTCTGATTGCTTCAAACATTATTATGAAATATTGTATTTGAGATAGAGGCCAATTTTTTGTCTTCATTTTAAACAATGTGCATTACATCTGTTGCCCTGTGTCTTAGGAATTTTAATAAAGAAAATGTGCACTCCAACAGGGATTAAACATGCTTCCCTTTTTGTAGGAGAAACCTCCATTTCATCCGCTATAATAACATCTGAAGTAATAAAAACGGATTAAAAATAAATCATGATTGATCTACTACCGAAACTGTAGCGGAGTGGTAAGGCACACTGGATCAAACCGTGGTAATTGAGAACAAATAAAGAAAACCAAATATTCAATAGTAAAAAATATTTTAAAAATAATTTGTACACATATTCAAATAAGAAACAAATGTTATTCCATCAAATAGCCTTGGAAATGACTGCATGATCAGATTAGATAATTCATATTCATATTGGTCTTGTGACCCCACAGGACTTAAAAAGTCCTATGGGATCATTTGTTCTCCCTCTCAACAGTACTCCCAAAAGTTATAGTTCATAAGATTCAAATAGGTAGAGCAAGGAGGCCACATGTTTGGAAGTGACATGATCTTGAAAATTGTTGGCCACCTACTCTAAAGGGGAAAATAAAATCTTCCAGCAACATCTAAATTCAACTACAGACAAAAAATAAACTTTCAAAATGCTGAAGACCAATGCTGATTTTAACCTGAGCACAGGGTGTTTATGTTAGTATATAGTAGATACTAGCAGTAGAGCCCGGGGATGTAACAGAGATAGATCAAGTATCGACCATCATAAAGACTGAAAAATAAAATTGACAAAGATTATTGTTTAAGGTTGACGGACATGCATGTCTTAATTAGTTTTTTTTTTTTTTACGAATTGGTCAAACTTAAAAAAAAAACATTGTTTTCAATCGTTATGAGTCTACCAATTGAATAGAATTTTATTATAAACAATTGTCTTGTAAATGGAATTTTAAAGCATTCTGAATGTAAAAATAAAGAAAAAAGTGTGCAAGACAATAAGAAACACTACCTGCCTATAAAAAAAAAAGTGAAGTTTTGTTGAAATCAGTTGAAAAATGTAGGAAATCCGAACCCATATATAAATGAACACACACACACACAAACAACCTGGGTTTTTATAATAAGTATAACTCGATATGAGTTATCCCCCTTTCATTTTCATTGATGCCTCTTAATCATGTTTTCAAATTGATTTCATGCAAAAACAATTGTGTTTTTTCAATTTTGGCACTGTCAGAACCACCAAAAAGGTAATTTTCGTAGTCCTGTGAAGTTTTGTTGAAATTGTTTGAAAAATGTAGGAAATCCAATCCAATATATAAACATACAGACACATACACGCACACACACAACTTGGGTTTTATAATAAGTATGATTCTAATAAAAGTTTGAAGCCACCTTGTAACACCAATACATCATCTGTGAGCTGTAGTCAGAATTGCATTCTGAGATAAAGTTCAGTGTGATAAAATAGTCCAGGGCAAGCAGATGTCATGTTTCTTTTGTCTAATTAGAAACATTTGAGAGGGATCAGCTTGTGAACTGTTGAAAGGATGAATAGTCATCATAAAGAGTTGCTGTGCATGCTGGAAGTGATACCTCAGTAGTACTTCATTGTTGGTAACTGGTTAAATGAACATTCCTACACCCACAAATCGACTTCTGAATGGCCATGTAGTACAGATGCTTACATTGTAAGGACTGCAGGAAGACATGTCTCTTACTAGCCTTCCACTTCCACTATCATGTATATTTCCACTGGTGTTATGTGAGAGGGTCACCTGGAAGATTGAATGCCATTTTGTAATGTTCAGTGATGGGAGAAGATTCTGTCTTCATACAAGTGATTGTCATTTGTGAGTGTATACCTAACATTGAAAACAAAAATGTTTTAATGTGTTTTTTTTCTTGTAAGTTTGAAATTTATTTTTGTATATATTGTTAATTATTCAGTAAATATTTAATCATTCCAATAATTTTTAATGTGGAACAGTGGAACTGCAAGACAAGGATGGCAGATTATTTTCTAAGAACGGGTTCTACATGACTTTGGACAATGGTGAGACGATATTAAGGATATGGCTGATGTTTTCTGAAAACTTTACTACAAATTACTTGCATGCTTTTTAGAAGTTCAATTTTAAATGTCATTTTGGAAAGTCAAGTGAATTTAATGCATGCCTAAAGCTTAAAAACCAATTTATTAGATCTTAGCGCAGTTTACATCATCTTAATGCATTTACAATGCAAAAAGAATTTGAAATACATTTACAGAAAAGAAACTATGGATGATTCTACCCAGCTTGTGCAACAGAGGCCATTTGAGAAATGGAAGGCAATCTTTGCCACAATACTTGATTCTGTGCTATATCTAGCCAGGTAAACTTATGTGATCATTCAGATCTAAGTATAAAGGATAACTGTCAATTTCTTAGAAATTTTTCAGTTGCTTGACAAATATAAGTTGCTAGTCAGTATTTTCTTAAAGTTTAACCTACAATATTATCAATGAAAAGGGATCAAGAGGAATTGTTAAATTATTACCAAGGTAGAATAAATATTTATAGACTGAAAGGAAGAATATTTTGATTGAATGATCTTTTTGAGGAATTTTCAATTTATATTTTATTTAAAATGATTGGTAAACAACAAAGTATTCATATGTTGATTTCTTTGAAATCCATATTTGAAGACAAGAGATATTTTCCATTTATGCTAAACCCAAGTGAATTCTTATAAGCTGAAGACTGAATTCAAAACAACAATAATTTACAAATGTGATCTTATTTGCTATAATTATATGTCTTTTTTTATTAAACAAAAGAATGTTAGATCTTTTTTCATATTTGGATTACCATTGTACAAGGTTCATTTAGGATTAAGATTAGTGTACATAAATTTTATTAAGCAAAACCTAGTTTGATACAAGGCCATAGTATGGAGATGCTCAAAAACAAACTCATTAACCATATCTTTTGAGGCTAACTTACAAATACACATCATCAACATCTTTAGTTTAATAAGATTCCTGTATGTGAGCATCCATTAAGGATTGACTGTACTCCACTGGTAACAGGAATGTTACCCCTTGCTCCATGTCAAGTACTTTATTCACATTTAATCAAATTAAAGCTTGTGTGGAAAAAGAAAAAATAAGCTTAAATTATATTATCTTACTACTATTAAATAGAGTTACAACTACACTATAGCTGATTTATAAGAATTTATGTAAAAAGAAAACAAAAGGAAATGACCCATTGCCTTTTCCACAAACTAGAATAAAGACATTTTTAACCAGTGAGGTGTTCAGAAGGGATCTTTCTGATAAGCCTTGCTTGTGTATTGGAAAATTATTCAAATATAGAAAGGCACACAAGAAAAGAAGAACTCTAACTTGATGTGAAATTGAAAAGAAAAAAATTATTTACAATTAAATTTAAATTAGGAGTTAAAGAAGGGTATAATGGCTTGCTCAAATATTCTTTTGAGTGCTTAATGAAAATTAGGCTGGCTAAAGAGATAATGTTCATATGAAAATTAAAACTTTGGATTGATAAAATCAAAAATATCCTTAAAAAGGCACAGTGAAATTTCCCTGGAATTTGTGAAATTTTAACCTGTCAGCAGTTGAAGTCAAATCTAGCAGATGAAAAGTATGTGGATGAGGAAGAGTTGTTTTTGTAGCAGCAATATGACAAAAGTTAGATGTGAGTCTCTTTGAAGTTGGTTTCAGAACAAATTGGTACTTTTTGGTTGTTCTCAGTTGCAAAGGTTTATTTTTTAAGGCTCTCCTCTCATTCATATGACTATCATTGCAACAATGCATGAATGAATAATGATCGTATTACCAGTCAGCGATTTGTTTATATTTAGATCCCCAGGGTAACTTAGATAGCATTTCAAATTATGGTGGGTTTGAATTCCTTGTTTCTGATTGGTGGAAAAATCCAAGGTGAGAAATTTCCTTCTCAATCCTTTTTTCTAGAGTATTCAAATTTTATAGCGACATAAAAATTGTCTCAAATCTAGACATCTTGAGAAAAGGCTGACCAAACACCTCATTGGTTATTAGATTCTCCAGTTTTAGGTAAGGGTAAGGGGCATAGAATTGTAATTTAACATAAATTTTTATATCTGATTCTGATTGTGCCAATACAATGTCTTGTACAAGATAATAAATAAGGAATATTCTTCTCAAGATTATTTCCAACCAATCAAAAAGGTGAAATTTAAAACATAAGACAATTTTGAAAAGTAGTTTACTTAGCAAGTTGAAACAGTTAAAAGGAAATGCACTATCCAGCTTAATCACTATTTGTCATGTTTCTATTCATGGTTGGGTAGTCAGAGTGAGATTTAAGTCAGCAGAGCAAGTAAACGAGTAAATGAGTCAAGAAAAGAAGACACTGGGTTCTGAGATACTGCAACCTTCAAAGAACTCAGGGACAACATGCATAAAACATAATACTGAATATATTTGTCTGAAACAAACACACAATCAGGCCATGTCTTCTTTATTGAAATGAAGTCAACTGATGCTCTTCAATTACAAATATGCAAGGTAGTACAAAGTTCTGAAAATTTTCCACAAATGTCAATCACTCTGCATCTTTCATTCATCAAATGGACATTCACATCACTGTCAACCTTCCAACTAATGAACACTACAGTAAGTCCTCACTTTCTTATGAACATTTTTCTCTAATTAGCTTAATATTTTTAGACACTCAAAAGAATATTTTGAGCAAGCCTAACACCCATTTCATTTTCATATAACAAATTATTGTAAATAAAGTTTATTTCTGTTTCAATTTTTTTTTGCATATAGAATAATCTTCATAGTGTCATGCCTCTTACATTTTTCTACACAAACTGGATGTTGACCACTCGATGACCCAAAGCAGTAAATATGTTTTCTGCACAGATACATCCACTTTAACCCAAATAAAATGGTTACATATATTGATCAGAGCCACTCCCACTCCAAAAACCAAAACCTTAATTTGGAACTGATTGACAGCAATATATTCTCAAATTCAAACAGACCCAAAACAGATCAATGTTTGATGTCAACACTAGCAAGCTGAGAGAGAGATGCAACAGAGATCAGACTTCATTGTCAACACTGATGCACTGAGAGAGAAATGCCACCGACAATGACAGCCATCACCAATGTCTATTCCACTTCTAATTTCACCATTCTCTCTCCCTGTTGCCTTAGCAACAGCAACAGGTAGAAGTTAATAGTTTTGTATATATGTAAATAAATTATACATTTATTTACCCATATTCTTTTTACTTGGATTTACATTTGCTGAGGTAGAGAAAGAATTAATCTCCACAACAGTAACAACAAGATTCTGTCTTATAGGTTACCCATCTCTGCCTCCACAACAATAGATTCAACTCAAAAACTTGAAGTTATAAATTTTTGTATTGTATTTATATTTTGTACTTTATATACACATCCTGGCAAGTGTTTTATTCACCTAACTAAACCATTTAATCATTAAATATTTCCAGGTTCTCTTTCCCAAATGTGTGTACACATGTATATCTTCATGTGTGAGAGAGAGTGTAAGTATTGATCTAGTTTAGAGTTAGAATTGAAGTTTTGGGACATTATTTCAGAGTTAAATAATTCTTAGAAGTTAATTGAGATCCAATTGATTTGGGGGAGACAGAAACAAGAATCTTCGAAATAAAAATGTTACTCTTATCTCAAATCTTTGCCTAGGCTCCTATTATTAAGAACCTAACAAGTTGTATCCTTTAGATATGAAAGTGATCCTCCAAGATAAGTCTCAATCATTGACCATACCTAAGCTTATATCCTGTTTCTTAGAGACCTAATTAAATTAACACAGCTACTTCATTTGGAAACAGAGTGCAATAAAACCTTTCTTTTTCCTTTTTCAACATGTACTAAACTCAGGTGAGTAAATAAATATATGAATTGTATTCTGCCATCTGACTGTGCTACTTATGTATTTGATACAGGTGATTCCTGTTGCGGTCACAACTCACTCACTAAAAATCCAGTGACAATCAAAATTTTCACATCTAAATTATGATAAATAAGCAAACCTTTTTTGTTTAAAATTAAAAACAATGTCTTCATGCAAACATTTTTAGAAACTGATTAAGTGTGGGTGTAAGTTCTTGGTGGAGCAGCATCTTGTATTCAGAGAACATAAAAAAGGGAAAAGATTACTGGAAATGTGCTGCATTTTATACTCATCCAACGTGACTCTTTCTTAATTATTTTATTTTTTATTGTTGTTGCGGTTCCTACATACCAAAGACTGCTCACAGACAAAAAGCCACAATTTCAAATGTTGAATTTCAGAGCTGGTAAACCCCTATACACTTGAAAGAGTGGTGCTGCACAATCTTCTTATTTTATTCTCTTCTAATATGATTTTGTACCGTAAACTAAACAAAAATGTATTAAAATTTAAATGAAATAAATTAAAACACGGGATATTATTGGTGAACTCTGGTTTTTAGAACTTAGAATAAAAATTTATAATTCACCGTATGGTGATTCACATTGAACGCATGAACTTAAAACTATGGATGGCTTTCAGCTATTATTTTACAATGAGACAAATTAATTTCCAGTGGTTTAAATTCTAAGTATTCTTATTTAGCTTCCTTTAAGTTTAAAGAAAAGACTTTCACGGTGTAAAGTGTTTTTCCTCATCCACAAACCATCCAAGGACGACAACTCTTTTCTTTTGAAAGGTCAGCGTAAAAATGTTTGTCAATAAAAGAGAATTTTACTTATTAAATCTGAAGGCTTGTAAGTATGTTTGAAATAGAAATGAATATTGGAATCCCCTTTCTCTTATATGCTTTATGTCGTGTTTTCTTTCTTTCACAGTTTTTCCAATAATTTAATCTTCAAACTACGTTATCGTAGAAAAATGCTAAGAAATGCCATGTAAACAACTAAAAAATAAATTCAACAAATAATTTCGCTTTTATAATTTGATTAACGTTCCTTTTCTAGAAAACTTAAATGATGAATAATTAATTAGGAGTACGTACGTAAAATAAAAATATTTGAATACTGATTCTTTAAAATCAAATTTTAACTTATTTTTTACAAATTAAAAATGTTGAAGTAAAATTATAAAATAGTTTCGTATTTATAATTATTTCAATTTCCTTTCACTGAATTTCTGAAATTCAATTATGTATGTCATTTTTTGTTATTGCTGAAACAACAGAACAACACAGGGGATTAACTTTGGAAGTTTAAAAATAAAATAGTCTTCTTGACGTGAAAGAAATTTTTTTATTTGATTACATTTTTTATTTTTTTTACAATTAAAAAATAAAATTAATTAAAAAAAAAACTCGTTGTAATTTGTATTTAATTTATAATATTTTGTTTATTTAAATTAAAATGTCTATTTTTTTTTTTAAGTAGTCCCTTTTTCACCTCATTTAAGAATTTGAAAGAATCCATTTGTAGTTATTATTTTTCCAAATTATTTTAATACTTTCTCTCTTTCTTTGAGCAGGACAAAGTGCTTGTTCAAAACAAAAAAGAATTGAATTTTAAAAAAACAGATAAGAAGGTCCATCTGCTCAATTAATCGCGACCTTTTCCGTACAAAAAATTAAGCACATACATTATTAGTCTTTTCAGTTAATTAATAAAAACTTTTAAAAATCGAAAAATAATAGGAAAGAAAATATGCAATTATGATTTTTTTGCGTGCCTTGGGAGTCACCAGGAATATCGCCACGCTGCATGAAACTTTAAGCCAATCTAATATTTATTTCCCTTTCCTACATCGTCTAAAAAATCAACAGTTGCTGATGTTTGATAAATTTATCATTTCCCAACCATAAACCTTGGAAAATCATATTTCCGACAAACCAATGTTCCTAAAATATCAAGTAGAAGCTTTGCTTCTACTTGATATTTTCACCCACTCTTACTGACTTTTCCATAAAACAATATCTAGCAAAAATTGAACTTTTTAATTATATAGGAATAGGATAGTTTTTTTTATTTTATTGCTGTACTTTAAATTCGTCTCTTGTACAAGTTAACCATTATTTCTAAGTCTTTTATAGAAATTCACTTGCAGTTGTAAATAGAAAATTCTGCCATTATGCAAATTCTGATCATTATTCCATCACTTATTTATTGGACTATCAGCTTCATCTGCTCCAATAACTAATAATGTTTGTGGAAAAAAAAACTTTAAAATTCTGAATAAATTAAAGAGTTGGTAAAATGAATAAATTAGACAGACTCAAATTAGTAGACACATTAATTGATAAGTTTCAGACAAAAATCACTAATAAGCTACATTATCTCTACTGAGTTGATACCAAGTTAAAATAAAATTTAATTAACCTATAATTTATGGAAAAAAATAAAATTCACACAGAATTTAAAATCAGTAGTCTGCAATATTTTAGTTTTAAGCATAGTTATAATTATTAGAAATTTTGTATTCTTCAAGTAACACACTTTCGAGTGAAGTATTTTTCTGTTAAATATTTGCATGTATTCTTGTGTCTAATACTATACTCTGTATAAATAAAGGACAAAATATCAAGAGTCTGACTCAAAGTAAAAAATCCTCCTGTATCTAGTCTATTTCTTGCCATATGAAAAACTGCCTTCATAAAAAGAAAAAAAAAATTCAACGATTTATGGAATATAAAATTTTGTATCTGCACTTTATCTGCTTTCTTATTTCCCTTTCCTTTTTCTTTGTGGATGTGTTGAATATTTTTCCATGACCAAATTTTCATTTCCCTCAAACTTCCACATATATATATTTGTTTAAAATTTGCTATATTTATGAAGGAATAGTGCTCAATATCAGGTGTAGGACATTTGTAGATAAAAATAGTGTGCACATAGAAATCAATACTGTATGGTGAATGCCTTAAGTGATCATTAAACTATGGTTTGATAAGGTGTGAAACTAGCAATCACCATGCTTCTTTAATGATTTCTATGCACATTGTTTCTTTCTCTCTCTCTCTCTCTCTATATATATATATATATATATATATATATATAAAAAAGGGTATTTAGAAATTAATTACATATTTCGCCACTATGAATCATGTGTCAAACAACCATGGTTAAATGGTACAAAACTGCACCTAAAATTAGTTTATCATCATTTCCAATCCAATAATGTATTGTTTATAGTGCATTTCAGAGTTTAACCCCACACAGAATTATAATATTTGGCTTTTTGTTTACTGTCTGAATTCCAAAAGTGTAGTATTGCTACCGAGGTTATTGCAGTGTATATGGATTGAGTGAAGTCTTGTACATGTTTAGCTGTGACAATTGTAACATACCTGACAAATCTCACTCTGGAAAACTTTTAAAAGAGAATATTAACTTGGATCCAGGGTAAAGTACTAGAGATTTGGTGTAAAAACTTAATGTGTCATGTTCAACTGTATATAAACATATCAAGCAAATTGGGAAATCTTGCAAAGAAGAAATTCAGATTCATCATAAGCTTTTGCTTGAGAATCAATATTCCACCACCAGTAGCAGTCTTTTAACCAAAAATGTCAACCTTTCATTTTTGATTTTCATTGTTACAGGTGATAAAAAATACATTTTGCATGTCAACAGAAAAAAAAAACAGCGGTTATTACAGAATGAGAAACTAGAACCAACACCAGCACCACAGAAGAACTGTTTACAGCCAATAATGAAAAAATTAAGTAGAGTGCTATTTTGTTAAACTGACAGCAAATCTGATATTTGGAAATGCTTTTATTCATGTTTTTTTTTTTTTTTAGGTGTGTCAAAATTTTACAAAAAGTAAACTTGTAATTTTATGTACCAGGAACTCTTTTATATGGAAATGCCAGGTATTTTTTTTAACATTTCATTTTTAATTTAGTTGAAAAGTTATTTGCATAGACCAGTAAAGAAGCAAATCTTTATAGAAACAAATCTTGTGTGAAATCCATATTAGTTTACAAGGAATATGATTTCCAAAGACATCGTTTAGAAAAATTTTAGAATATTTAGAATATTTTCTTTAATTTCAAAGTAAAAACTGCAACTTTTTGAATTCACATTTCTATAAATCAGTTCATATTTTATATTATTTATATTTCTCTATTTACTTCTATTAATGGAGACTTGTGCAAGAAATTTTATACACTACTTTTTTTTTTAAATTTCTTCTAAGAAAATTGTACCTTGCATTTCCATAAAACAGATCTTGGTTCTCTGTAAAGTCAGTAATTTTTGCTATGCCAGACTTCAACTATTTCACCTTTTTATTTTAGGTTTTTTATTTGAATAAAGTGATGGATGTCTTTGAGTATGAGTGTGGCCCAAAGTGTCACTCGAAACAGCATGCCACAGAGCTGAACACTGTAATTACACAGTGCTCACTACCTGAAATTCAAGCCTATTTTCAACTGTGTTATTCAGCTGGACACCAGGCAGACCTTGACGGACGAACGTCTTTACACATGGCTACGGTATGTGGCAAGTTGGATGTTGTGGAATGGCTTCTGAAAGAAAAAAACGTTGACATTAATGCTGTAGATAAGGAATCAAAATGGACAGCATTACATAAGGCCATATTCTATGGTCAAATTGCTATCGCCAGGCTTCTTATTCAGGTTTGTATTATTTTTTGCTGTTATTAGGAGGGAGGGAAAAGATAAAATTTTATTACTGATTGATTGTTCCTTGCATAAAAGCTCACTTTACTGTGTTTATAAATTTTACAAATATTAATAAAGTGAATTTGATGAAAACCCCTAATCTCTGAGCCAAAATGAAATATCTTTTGTTTAAGGTCAGTTCAATTAAGGATTCACTATAAGCTTAATTTGTGATGATGATTATCATCATCTGTAATTTTAGTTGTTTTATGTCTTGGAATAGATTTCAAAAGAAAGGAAAAAACTGTTCTCAGACAGTCCTTCATCCCACAATCTTTTACTTATGATGCAGCTATGTTTTCCATCAGGCTACAAAGACATTCATTATTTTATGTATATTATACTGCATCTGTTTATCCACCTGGGATGAATTCAATAGGATTAAGCATAGTTTAAAGGAACAATCAATATCTTTTTAAACTCAACTATTATTTTAATTCTTAAATACAATTATTATAATTAAATCATTAAAATCATTTCCTTTTATCTACACACACATGTATAAAAATATATATTTTTTTAAATCTGAGAATAATTTTCTTGACATATGTTACTAAAGTAAATGAAAATATACCTAAAGATTTTAGGGTGCAGTGGGCTACATGAAAATATTAAGTGTGCTGCAGGTTGGATGTCCCTGTTCTAGATCAACTGTTTGATCCTGAAGTTAGTCAGTCCTCAAAATACCTTTCTTATCCCCAAATACCATGGTTTTTCCTGCTAAATTTTGCATCTTGAATTTTTTCACCCATCAAGAACCCAAGTGCCACCATTGCATGACCTGTTATTTAGTTTCTGATTAATAATGGTGTAACAATGTTTCATCAACAGTGATAAGTCATTCTAAACATTATCACTGCTCCAAAATTAACTTAGATGCATCTACTAGGTATGATTTCTGGTTGGCATTTCAAAATTTTGGCACTCACTTGGCTGACAACATCTACATACTGAACTGCTCATGAATTACAGATTTAGTATATTCCCTGGATATGTCTAGTATATCAGCAATTCTTTTAGGTAAGATTCAATGATAGGCCTGTTGTGAATATGGATTATCTCCCCCTTGATAATCCAACTATAAAAGCTATACATTTACGTTTGTCAGGTAGACTAGTAGTAGCATTCTTAATTGAATAAACGATTACTAGACAGAATCTCTTGTCCTGTTTTCATTACATTTTATTCAATTAAGAATGGAACAATTCTATGTGACCGGGCGACTTACCACAGATCCAGAAAGCGATTCAGCTGACAAGTGCTGGAAACATTGGCGGGAGACATTTACAAATTTCATGAGGTTCTACATTCAGAAAGACCGGGACGTCCCATCAATAAGCGTGCGCTCCTAACCAACTACCTGTCTCACACAGTCAATTGAAATTATCTCGGATTGCGTTACCTACGAAGAAGCAATCGATGTACTGAAGCGCTACATACATAAAGCCCCCAAAATGAGATATTTTCTAGACACCTACTTGCGACTCGCCGACAAGAATCAGGTGAGACATTGGACCATTTCTTAAGAACCTTTGGACACTGAACAAGATTGCAACTTCTGCCCAATGACGGCATTAGAGGCCCAAGGAGCTACACATTTGGACGCCTTCATTAACGGTCAGATAAGACAACGTCTTCTTGAGAATAAGACCCTTACACTTAGAACTGCTTACGAGCAAGCCTATATCTTCGAAAGTGCTATACAGCAGTTTAGTTCTTATTACAGCCAGGACACTGTGGGCGTGGCGTTAAACCCACCTGTTCCTACTACCCCACCTCATGACGATAGTCTGACGAAGCTCAAGAACAATCGGTCACTGCCGCTTCAAAAGGACACCTGCTACTTTTGCATGCTTATCTAAAACACTTCACGAGTCTCATGCCCTGCCAGAGATACTCATTGTTTATAAATGTGGAAAACTTGGTCATTTTCAAAGATATGCAAGTCTTCTAAATCTTTATACAAAGCCACGCGTCAAAAATGCATCTGCAACTTTAGCCGCCTCCCCCAACTGCCTTTCAAAAACTATTATAAAAGTGAAAATTAACAGGAGGTCTACAAATGCTCACTCGACACCAGGAGCTCAAGAAAACTTATCAAAGAAAGCTTGGTAAAAACCAACAAATTGTATTTTGTACCCTCCCCAGCAGAGTAACGATCATCGTCTGTGCAAGTAAGTGGTTATTGTTTGGTGGACTTACTATTTAATGACGTTTCCTATAAAACTACTAAATTATACGTAATGAAAACCCTTGTTGCGAAAATAATACTGGGACACGATTTTTGCAGCAACACTCACAGATTGAAATTCCGTTTGGCGGTTCAAATGCCGCATTGAAAGTTTGTGGATT